GAGTAATTTTGATCGTTGAGTCCTGATGTGGAGAAGAGGAACCCTGAAGAGCTGCCTGACTGTGGTAGGAATATTTGTAACAGAAACAGAACTTTGTCATGTAAGCCTCTAACATTGAGAGGGCAATTTGTTACTGCAGCATAGCTTAGCATTCCCTAATACACGCCCTGTGATAACAACAGTCAAAGCACCTTTCCTTGAGTCTACTATTCCCTCGGGTTTCCACTGTATTTCCCTCAATATCTCCACTGCTGGCTTACTCAAGTATGAAGTCTCTAAGCAGGGCTGCTGTTTTCTTTTTCTGTCTACAAATTCATTCCTCAATCCCTGGCCCTTGACCTGCCACTTTACCTAATTATTCGCTGCAAGGCTCCCAATGATGCCACAACCCCAAATTCAACAGCACCTTCAGTGGCTCCAGCCCCTTTGCAGACAGGTACTACGTGGTCGACTCTGAGCTTCTTTCTTCCCCTTCTCTGGTGCTTCCTCGGTGATCTGAGTTTTCTTCCTGTCCCTCCAATGCTCTTTTCAAGTCTGCCTCACCACTGACTCTTCTTCACTCTGCCTCCTAAATATAGCCCTTCCCAAGGTCTAGCCCTGTTATTTCTTTGTACTTTCTCTCTTGATCTCACCCAAGCTATGACTTCCAATGTCCCTGACCATGACCATGACTCCCAAATCTGTTTACGGTCACTGGTCTCAAAGAGCTGTGGGCTAACAGGGAGCACGTTGAGCTCTTCCCAGGCTCCCGGACCACAGTTCTGACCACCTGGGCATTCTCACACTTAACGTACCAAACTCAAATCAATTTGCTTTCTCTTTCCCTTCAGCATTAAGCCTGCTACTCTGCCCTTCATATTACATAACTGCTACTTCTCCTCCTCTTTTTTAAATTTATTATTATTATTATTATTATTTTTGAGATAGAGTCTTGCTCTGTCACCCAGGTTGGAGAGCAGTGGCACAATTACAGCACTGCAGCCTCAACCTCCCAGGTTCAAGCGATCCTCCCACCTCAGCCTCTGGAGTAGCTGAAGCCACAGGTGCGTACCACCACATCCAGTTTTTTTTTTTTTTTTTTTTTTGTAAAGATAGGGTTTCATCATGTTGCCCAGGATGGTCTCAAACTCATAGGCTCAGGTGATCACCCTGCCTTGGCCTCCCACAGTGTTGGGATTACAGGTATGAGCCACCGCGCCTGGCCCAGTCTTAATTTCCTATGCACACTTGCCTCACACTCCAGGAAAACTGGCTTGTTTCTTGTTCTCCAAACATGCCCAGGGAAATCCTTACTCTGTCTTTTGCTCAAGCTACCCCTGCTGCCCAGAAAGCCTTCTTCCCACCCCAGTTCTCATTTCTGTCTTTCTATTGAATCCCACCAATCTCTGGAACCTATTCGGCCAAAAAATGATCTAGAGAAACTCGAAATCCTTGGATCCAAAGGCTCACACCACAGGGGAGTAGGAAGTGGTGGGCTGGGAAGGGCAGTGGGTTGGGGGTGGCCAAGGAATGTGTACCCCTTTTGTACACCATGTTCCCTATAAAGACTTTCCTAATACCCTTGACCTTATGTGTTTGCTCCCTCCTTTGCAAACGTAGAATGTTTTATTTGTAACTTTTATGAGTTAGAATAAAACCACTTGTCCTTTCTTGCTACTGTCTTTCATCTATCAGACATTTTGCTCTCTGGCCTCCCAGCCAGGTGGTTCTTCTGAGAGTATTTATAGAACTGTATTTGTGATGACTCCCTTTAGGAAGTGGGTGCGTATGTTGTACTTTTGCTTTCGGTCACAGGATGAAACCTCACTTCAAGTGGGAAATTACAATGAAGCCGGTGGCTGGGCTTTCCTGCGCCCCATTTCTGTGAACATTCTTGGAGTTGGCAGCATTTTTTCCCTGACATCCTGAGCTGTACACAGCTATGAACCAAACCTGGCTGCTTTGCATGTGCCTGAAGGCCTCCCAGCCAAGCGGTTCTTCTGGAACATTCAGCTGGTCTCATCCCTGTGAACCCCTCCTGCCCCTCACCACTCTAGACAGTCCAGGCAGGGGTTTAGAAGGAAATTCATCTGCACTGAGACTCTCCATGTGCTAAGGCGGCCCACAGCTTTTTGCCTGGGTAAGCAGAGCCCAGAGAGCCCATTGGGTGAAAAATAGGTGGTACTGTAATTACTTCAAAGTCATAGCAAGTCTGGGCAGGCACTGAGGGAGGATACTAAATCTGGAGGCTGAAATGCAGAGGGCAAAACTGGGAGCTAACTGGGCAGTGGATCCCAGGGGAGAGATGGGAGGAGCCCCTGCTGGGGCGGCCACTGGGGCTGAGGCTGGCCCTGACCCTGATGGTTCCCTCCTCTGCCAGCACAGAGGAAGGGAAGGCTTCATGGATAGTACTTCCTACCGCACAAACTCCTAAATAGGAAGCATTTTGTCATCCAAAGGCAGGGACAGAGAGGCAGTGTGGCCCTATATCTCTTTTCCTAATAGGCCAAATAATGATCTAGAGAAACTCAAAATCCTTGGATCCAAAGGCTCACACCACAGGGGAGTAGAAAGTGGTGGGCTGGGAAGGGTAGTGGGTTGGGGGTGACCAAGGAATGTGTACCCCTTCCCCTTAACCCCCACCTCCTGATGCAGCCACAATTTTTTTCAACCACTCCTGGGCCAAACAGCAGTCACTGTCAGGTCAGCTGGCTGGGGATACCTGTTCTGGTCCAATTCTTTCATTTCATTGACTGGAGGCCTCCCAGAGAGGTGAAGGGGCATATCTGAGGTCATACAGCCAGTTTTGGGGAGACATTGAAACTCAAATCCCAGTCTCCTGGTGGCCTCGCCATGGCTCCTTCCACTCAACCTGTTACCTCTCTGTGTCAGGCAAGATGGGAAATGCTGGGAGACTTTGATAAAGGCTGACAAAAATGGTTCCCCGTGAGTCTGCAAATGCATGGAAGAGAATCAAAGGGAAAATAAATGGTTCCTATAAATATTTATGTCGAAATCTGGCACTATGGCCTGCAGAACCAGTAGGGGCTCCGAGAAAAGTTCAATCCAGGGTTGGAAAAACAATAGTTAATTTTTTTCAAAACACTCAGCAGAGTTGAAAAACAGTGTGTTCCAAAACAAATAAGTTCCGTTGACTGAGTGACCATAGTTTTTATTCATTTCATTGTTTATGGCCTTGCTGTTAAATCTTTTTTTTTTTTTTAACAAAGCTATTATTATTGTTAAAAACATAGTATTTCTGACATCATGAATTTTTTTTTTTTTTTTGACACCCAAAGCCAAAACATTCTCTGTTTTTTGGACCAAGGACTCCTTGAGGTTTGAAGAACCAGAAAATTGTTTTCCATGTGGCTCTAGAAAGGCCAAAATTCCCTAATGGATGCTTCCCCTTATCTGGAGTTAAGAATTGTCCCAGGGTCCAGCTCAATGGCTCGGAGGCAGGCCCATCCTCCAGGTCCCTCGGAGCAGGAAAGCTGTTCCCAGTCAGCTTGGCCAGGCCCCAGTCCCTCGCAGCAGGCCCTAAGGCAGTCAGACAGTGGGGCTTTAGAACAGCCTGGGAGGCCCAAGCCTTCTGGGCTTTGCAGTGGGATGACCTGAGAAATGCTAACATCCTTTGGGTTGTAACTCCAAAAAGGAGACTTCAGATCTCCTTCTAAATTCTACAGGTCTTTTAGTCTCCTTCTGAAGTCTAAAGTGTAGGCACTGCAGTAGTCTTGGAGGAGGCTGACGAAACCCAAAGGTGTCTGTTCCTTCAGCCACCCCAGGGCCATCAGAAGAAGGCACAGGCAGTCATACCACCAAACAACTCACCTTTATGCTTCTTGGTTATGTCTAGAGCTGCAAATACCCTTTCACTCGGCCTCACCCACTGGCATTTGATGCCAGTGCTCTTGCACCCTAGCTTTGGGGGCTCAAACACTGGGGATGTTCAATGTGTCGTGACCTGAATGCCTTCTGTGAGCCAGGTATAGGTCCTTTCTCCATCTCCCTTGTCCCAGCTTCTCTCCCACCTCCAACCCCACTCTTAACAGCCCCTCCCTGCCAGCCCCTTCTACCGCCTGCTCTTTCCATCTCTTGCAGGTGGCTCCTCCTCCCCTCTCCTTTCACCTGGGCTTGAGCTGGCTTGGACCTGCTCCTGCCTTTCTGATCTTTGCCAACCTTGCCATCTCTACATCCCTCTGTTCTTAACATCCTTGTCCTCTGTTCTTAACCATGCCTGAAATCTTACCCCTTGCCACTAGACTCCTTCAACCTTGCCCCTTCTTTAAAATGCTTTTTTGACTCTCCTGCCACCAATACCCCTCCTCATGTGTTCTGTCAATCCGCTTTTCTTCCCCGTAAGATGAGCTGGGAAAATGGCAATGACACCCAGCTCAGCTGGACTCCCTGTGTGTGGACAAATGCAGGGCACAACAGAAAGGTGGCCATGCCTTTCAAATGTGTGGGTCCCCACCCATGAGTGGATCCCAAAGTCATTTTATTGGATTGCAACCAACAGTGAAAAATAAATAGAACAGAACATACTGGAGGACGTCCCCCAGGGAAGGGTAAGTATTGTTTTGTGACATTTTTGTTTTCGCCATTTCTGTGTGTGTGTGTTGCAAGTCTCAGTGTGAAATATATTTCTTACTGTGGGTTGCAACCAAAAAAGTTCAAAAAGTCCCTCGTCTAAAGAACCAATGAAGACATCAAAGACCCATTATTGAAGGTGACAGGAGTGAGAAATTTGCCTGGGCCCGGCACAGTGGCTCAGGCCTGTAACCCCAGCACTTTGGGAGACCGAGGCGGGTGGATCACCTGAGGTCAGGAGTTCGAGACCAGCCTGGTCAACATGGTGAAACTCCGTCTCTACTAAAAACACAAAAATTAGCTGGGCGTGGTGGCAGTTGCTGTAATCCCAGCTACTCGGGAGGCTGAGGCAGAAGAAATGCTTGAACCCGGGAGGCGGAGGTTGCAGTGACCTGAGATCGTGCCATTATACCCCAGCCTGGGCGACAAGAGAAAAAAAACTCCATCTCAAAAAAAAAAAAAAAAAAAGGCCTGGCTGTGGAGGCTCAGAGAGAGCTCTGCATTCCTTAGAGAACCTGTAGGTCCTACAGGTGGGGCTGCCATTCTCCTACTGGAGGAAGCAGCGCATGGTTTAGGAACTTTCACCCAGGAAGCTCTGTAGAAACTGTCAAGATTCACACCCAGCATTTAGACTCCAATTTACATACAAATCAAAGACTGAACTCTTAATTAATGGTCATCAAAATCAAAAGAAAGTGTTTAAAAGGAATAGGATCCTTTAGAGAGTTTTCCTTGCAGCTCCATCTGCTGTTTCTCTCGCCCATAAAATCAAGACCCAGAGAATGTGTCCCAGGAAGTGGAGTGCAGCCAGATTTGGAAATCTACCATCTTTTTCGGTGAGATCATCAGATGCTGCCACTTAAAGGGCAACACAACATGAGTCTCATCCCTGTGGACTGGAGGCAGCCGAGTTCCAGCTCATCCCATGCACCCAGAGCCGTGGACAGGGATGGCCAAGCCTGGAGTTACTGGCAGTAAAAGGTGAGCACGTTTTCCTGGTTTCCTCGGATCAGGATGACTGGAGGTCTGAGGTCCTGGGACAGGGTCTCCAGCCACGCCATGTACAGAGAGCTGGGGCACTCCCCCTTCCTCCCTATGGGCAAAGTGCTGCAAAGCATGAAAAAGTGGCAGAGGAGAGATTACCATGGGGCCTCTCCACACGCCCAGCTTCTGGTTTGTTTTCAGAACAGCGAGTCTGTTTACTGTCCCTCAGAGCTCCTTCCACCCACCCTAAGAATGACCTCCCCACTTTCCGCACAAACATGACCCAGAATGGACCTTCTGCCGTGAAGCGTTTCCAAACAAAGTCATGGCCCACAAGCCCCGTGGGATCTAGTCCTTGCCAAGCCCACGACCTCACCTCTTCCCACCCTCGCCTTGCTCACCCCCGATGCCCTGTGGCTTTCTTTCCATTCCTAAAAAAACGCCAAGCTCACTTCTGCCTCCAACCTTTGCACTTGACGTTCTCCCCACCCAGCGGGAAGAGCAGCCCCAGCTCTGCACCTGGTCACTTCCTTTGAGTCAGGCAAGTTCACCTACCTCCTTCCCTGGTCACTTCTCCAGGGCAGGCCGCCCACGCCTCTTCCTCACATCATCCCACTTTACTGTCTTCAGAGCCCTGCACAGTCCCAACAGCATCTTCTGATTTATGTGCTTGTCTCCCCACATTAGAATGTTCGCTCACAAGCAGGCCAGATCTGTCTTGTTCACCCCTCTTTTCCCAGTGCCCAGAACACAGTCTGATACAGTCGGGCTCAGTTATATATTTGTTAAGTGGGCGACCCTTTCCCATCAGGCCACCCACTTCATGCCAGGCTTGCCTCTTCAGCCCTGTGCCAGCCTGTGGCCACAGCAATGTGATATGTTCCTGTTCATTCATTGTCCAGCTCAGTGTTCTTGTCCTGCCTCCTGCCCTGTGCAGGAGGCCCTGGGAGCAAGACTCCACCACTGCCTATGGGGAGGCCCCTTCTCTTAACTGCGAAATGCTGCGTGAATAAAAAGATGCCCTGGGAATGCTGTTCAGCCATGTCTTCCAACTATTTCAAGAAGTGACTTTTCTGCTATCTGGAGAATTCCAAAAATGCATTGGGATGGCCACAGCTGCCCAGCTCTGGGCTTCGGGAGGGTCTCTGAGCTCCAGCAGAGTCTCCCAGGTCCAGCTGGTGCCACGTGAAGTTGGAGCACCAGCACCTTCCATGCGACTCACTTGAATGTCTGTTTTCCCCAAGTACATCCCCCTAGGGAATGGGCAGGGCCCGCAGCACCGTGCTCCTTCACAGCTGGGGGAACTGGGGCAGGAGGAGGATGCTGGAGCGCTGGGATCAGAGCCAGGTTCTGGCATCTGAGTCGTGGCTTTGCCACTTCCTCAGCCAGATGACCTTTGCAGAGTTTCTCTTCTCTAAAGCAAGAACACAAAAACCTCCCTCTCAGGATGTTTGCGACGCTAAAGCCGGCAAAGCACACACAGGCACAGCACAATGCCTGGCACACAGTGAGCGCTCCGTAAGGTCAGCAGCTGTCATCAGCACTTAGTACTGACCAGCATGTGACAGCTAAGCCAGTGGCGGCAAAGCTGGAACTTGAACTGAGGTCTTGGCATCTTCCCTCCTCAGCAGCCTCTGCTCACAGCAACTCCAACCTCCTCTGAGAAGGGTAACTGGGATCCTAAACAGCTATGTCATACTTGAAGTTCCATCCACAAAGCTTCACCTGGGACAAGCCCTATCCGCCTTTAAAAAGCAATGTCCTGGGCCGGGCGTGGTCACGCCTGTAACCCCAGCACTTTGGGAGCCGAAGGCGGGTGGATCACTTGAGCTCAGGAGTTTGAGACCAACCTGGGCAACACGGTGAGACCCTGTCTTTACAAAAAATACAAAAAATAGTTGGGCATGATGGCGCACGCCTGTGGTCCCAGCTACTCAGGAAGCTGAGGCAGGAGGATCATTTGAGCCTGGGAGGTCGAGGCTGCGGTGAGCGTGATTGCGCCACTGCACTGCAGCCTGGGCAACAGAGTGACACTGTCTCAAAACAAACAAACAAAAAAGGTCTCAAAAATTAGGGAAGGCGGGTTGACCCAAGGCCATTTCATTAAGCTATAGTCATCTGAGTTCAAATACTTAGTGACTTTCCGGGGGAAAGGGACATAGGACTACTGAAACCAAACTCTCCTGACCGATCAGTTATGCAAGAGGCAGACAACGCCATCCAGGAAGCAGCACACGATTTCAGGGGCTGAATTCAGAAACGTCAAAGGCCACGAGAGAAATGGTGTCTGCATCATGGGGGTGGGGAACACCCATCACCCCTGCGGTGGACTTTTAAGCTTCGGCATGGAGTTCCCTCCCCCAACAGAGCCTGTCCACCTGTCCAAGAGACAGCTGTCTTTAAAATCACCCCGCCCCCACACCAATCACTGACGTGCTGTATTCCTGCTCATAGGATGTGCACGCCTTGAGCTACTAATCTTCAGAAATAAAGCTGTTCCAGAACAAAGGAACATTTTTTTTTTTTTTTCAGAATTACATCTCTTAGCCACAAAGAAAGGCGGCTTCAGATCTAACCTAGATGTGAAAGACAGCCCTGTATCAGAACCACAGTCACAAGCTCCAGATGCAATTCCCACTTCCTGTCTGCAAGACCCTGGCCAAGCTGCTTAACTCCTCTGAAGCTGCTTCCTCATCTCTAAAGTAGGAGTGAGGGGGTGATTATAATAGAGTTTTGAGGCCAGGCACAGTGGCTCATGCCTGTAATCCCAGCATTTTGGGAGGCCAAGGCAGGTAGATTGCTTGAGCTCAGGAGTTGGAGATCAGCCTGGGCCAACATGGTAAAACCCTGTCTCCATAAAAAATACAAAAAACTAGCCAGGCCTGGTGGCATGTGCCTGTAGTCCCAGCTACTCTGGAGGCTGAGGTAGGAGGATTGTTTGAGTCCTGGGAGGTGGAGGTTGCAGTGAGTTGAGATCTCACTAGTGCTCTCTAGCCTGGGTGACAGAGTAAGACCCCGCCTCAAAAACAAAGAAAATTATAGGACCAAAGAGGCCCAAAAAGAGAAAAAACAACAACAACAACAACAACAAAAAACAAAGAGGTTGCAGTGAGCTGAGATCCTGCCACTGCACTCCAGCCTGGGTGACAGAGTGAGACGCTGTCTTAAAATTAGGGCTTTGCAAATTCATAAGGCCTAATGCCTTGAGTATCATATAGAGGCCCAAGCCATAAAATGCAATGTTGATTATTACTATTTTGATTATTGCTGTTTGGCTTTGAGGAGGGAGTGTTTTTAGAAAAAAAGAGGCATCTGGACCCAACAGGAATATGTTGCTAGGCTAGTCAAAGGTTGTTGGGCTCTTTATGAGGCTGGTTTATCAGCTGTGCTGGGGTAGCTGAGCTCAAACCTGGGGCCATTTGATAACCCACTGATTAGTGAACAGCAGTCGACCAAGTGCTGCCTCAAACCCGCTCTAGAAAATGCTCCAAGCACGCTCTCCCAAATGCTAGACAATGTGATCTAATCATTTCACGAAGGCTTGGGAGATTTTTTTTTTCCCCTTCCTCAGAATTTCTGGGCTCCACCCTAGAGCCTGGTCTGGAAGGCACTGAGGAACTTGCATTTTCCACAGTCCCCTGGTAGTTCTGATGAAGCAGACCCTCTGACTGAACTTGTAGAGAAACACTAGGCATGGCTCCAGGTTGGAGATTAGTGATGGAAAGATGCAGCTGCTCTGTCCTCCCGGTGGACGTGGCCCAATAGCTGGGGCCTCTTTGGGCAACAGCTGTAGCTACTGGCATGGGGTGGGACGCCCTGGGCAGGGGTCTTTTCTTGGGTCACTGGATTTATAATTACTTGTATCGGCGAATCCCACAAAGGCTGGTGGGTGGGGGATTGGTTTTCCCTGTGAGTTTGGGGGACGGTGGTGGGGATGGGGGATCGGAAGGGAGAGATTCCAACAGATGGTCACCTCCTGGGATGAAATTCTTCATCTTATGGCTTAAGAGACTGAGAGACTGATTCTTTTTTTTCTTTTTCTTATCTTTTTTTTTTTTGGTACAGACAGGGTCTTACTAGGCTGGTCTTCAACTCCTGAGCTTGATCAATCCTTCAGCCTCAGCCTCCCAAAGTGCTGGGATTATAGGCATAAGCCACTAAGCCCAGCTGAGATTGACTCATTTTAATGACAAATAAACTTAGAATCACAGCATGTTAGCATGAAAGAGAATCTTGGAAATACTTTTGTTAACTATTTATAATTAGGGAAACTGAGGCTAGAGAGATATGGGGTCTTACCCAAGGCCACACAGTGGGCTAATGGCATAGACAAAATGCCCACATGCCTCTCTGAACAGAGGTGGCATGTCAAGCTGTGGTCTGGCACACCCATGCACACCCAGCAGGCACCATACCCAAGGAAGAGTCTGGGGAGGCATCCCAGGACGAAGCCATTTCCACTGTCTTGCACTCGGACCCAGCCCTCACCCTGGACCAACCTTGCCCTAGGAACATTCTCTGCTAGGTGTTGGCAAGAGGTCTGGAGATAAGCCCAGCCCCTTTCCTTATCGCTGTTCTCCAAGGAAACATGGAGCACTTTCTTTGTACAAAAAAAAATATGTCCCTAAAGCCCCAGGAAGCATTGTTCTGGGCGGAGCCAGCTGCCTCAGTGTGCAACCAGCACAGTCACATGGGGCCTTCTGCTCAGGAGGGTCCCTTGTTTGTCTAATGCCCTGCTGTCACCATCTTGACATTCTTTTTTTTTTTTTAAATGCCTTGTTTAAGTCACACAAGAAAGTGTTGCAAGTGACAGTTCAACCCAATTGACTACACTATAAATTATATCACTATCTGCGGCCGGGCACCAGGTAATCCCAGCACTTTGGGAGGCTGAGGTGGGTGGATTACCTGAGGTCAGCAGTTCGAGATCAGCCTGGCCAACATGGTGAAACCCCATCTCTACTAAAAATACAAAAAATTAGCCGGGTAAGGTGGCAGTATTTGGGAGACTGAGGCAGGAGAATCACTTGAACCCAGGAGGCGGAGGTTGCAGTGAGCTGAGATCACACCACTGCACTAAAGCTTTGGCGACAGAGTGAGACTCTGTCTCAAAAAAAAAAAAAAAAAAAAAAAAAAAGTTATATCATTATCTGAGAAATAAATGCAATCATTCTTTAAAAAAAAATAAATAAAGCACACACTGGCATTAGGGACATCAGGGTATGAGGAATACTGTGTCCCAGGGGCAGACTGACAATGGTCTGTTTCTGGTCTGTTGTTAGACTTCTGTGCTCTTACACTCATCTGCTAAGAAGGGTTTGCACACTGCATAGGATATTAGGAATCATGAAGAATTCTGCATGCTCTACTGTCTACTGGCACCTAGGCAGTAACTGGGAAGAACAGAAACTATAAGTCAGAACCATTTGCTACAGTCTGAATATTCACGTCCCCCCAAAATTCACACGTTGAAATCCATATCCCCAGGGTGATGGTTTTAGGAGGTGGGGACTTTGGGAGATGATGAGGTTATGAGAGTGGAGCCCTGTGACCTATGAATAGGATTAGAGCTCTTATAAAGAGGCCCCAGAGAGCTCCCTGGCTCCTTCCACCAAGTGAGGACACAGCAAGGAGGCCCATCCATGAGTCAGGAAAGCAGCCCTGCCTCCGACTCTGAATTTACCAAGCTTCGATCTAGGACTTCCCAGCCTCTAGAGAAATACCTTTCTGTTATTGATAAGCCCAGCCTATGGTATTTTGCTATACCAGCCTGAATGTTCTAAGACATGATTCCTGAAAACTGCTTTAGTGTATGGAAGTAGCATTTGAGTATTATCTAAGCACGATTCTAGCTCTGTCATCCAGGCTGGAGTGCGGTCGCATGATCTTGGCTCACGGCAACCTCTGCCTCCCAGGTTCAAGCAATTCTCCTGTCTCAGCCTCCCGAGTAACTGGGATTACAGGTGTGCACCACCAGGCCTGGCTGATTTTTTGCATTTTTAGTAGAGATGGGGTTTCACCATATTGGCCAAGCTGGTCTCAAACTCCTGACCTCAAGTGATCCACCTGCCTTGGTCTCCCAACGTGCTGGGATTACAGGCGTGAGCCACCGCACCCAGCCCCAAGCACGTTTCTAATTGCCTGAACCACTCTCCTGGTGACAAATTCCGCTAACTGGTAAAAGCAAAAATTTTACCTCTGTCCTGTCAATGAAGAGTAACTGGTGCTAGTGCCTTTTGAATTCTCCTGGGCATCTTTTTTCACATGAGAGTTTTTAGTTTATTAATCTTCTTGTAGAAAATCCACAATGGCCGCAGATAACATCACTGCTGCCCCTTTACTCCTTTGGCTGTGATCCAATCTCCAGCCCACCTTTTGCCACCAACAGTGGCCTTTACAGTCCCCGTAACTTCCTTCATTCTGTTCTTGCATTCCTTTCATTGTTTTTTTGAGGTCTTTTTCTTCTCACACAGGCCATGTCTTTCAAGTCTATGTTTGGGTTTACTTTTCTTTGCATAATCCAAGGAATCATAAATTATGCCAAAGCTAGTTGTTTTCCCACCACCAAAATTAGTTCTAAATCCAAATGCATAGATGATATTCAGTGTGGTCTTGTACATTTTGGCTAGTTTGTCCTGAATTTCTATCTTAGGTATGGTTGCCTTCCCAGGTGAAGGACATAGATGACCATTTGTTTCCTCTGAAGTAGTCAGTTGATCATGACCTTCCTAGTTTGGATACTTACTGATTCATTCGTGATGGCAGTCAATCCTCAGACAGCCAGGGAGGAAAAACCCTCATGGACATCTTAAGACAGACTGGAGGTGCAGAAACCTCCAGGTCAGGTCTCCAAACTGGTTGCTTAGCTGCTAGCCTTTGGTGAGACCTAGGAGGATGCATATCCTCAAGCTTTATCTACTTATCTGCTAGAAGCCATTGGCCATTTTCAGTCTGAACCCATTTGCTGTTTTGATCTTCTCAAAGGGGCACTTACACTACCTAAAAGAAACATTGCCGGTGCACTCCTGAAAGAGGGTATTGCAGACACAGCAGTAAGGGATGCATGCAACTTACATAGTACTCAAGCAACAGAAGTAGTGGGAACATAAGTTTGAGTTGCTTTTATCACCCTCAATGAACCACTTGTTCTGAGGTCTCCTCTCATGAATCTAAGATCCTTAGATCCTGGCATCTGCAGTCCAGATCAGATGGTGACAAGTCTGGGAATGGGTTCTATCACCAGAGCTGAAGGATCCCTCCTATCTGAGCACATCTTCCTAGAACAGCGTGTGGTGACAGGTTTTTGGGGACCTTCTTGCCAGAGAAAAGCAAGCTTGATGAGGCACTTGTGGTTGCTCTCCAAGGCAGGACGCATTTTGCAGATTTATGGAAATGTTCAAACAGGTGAATGTTGAAAAATGATACCCTGAAGTTTCATGCCCACATCATCATCTGTCTACATCAATGAACAACCTATCATCAGTTGTGTTGAACCCCCACCCCTCCTCCTTTCCACCACCATGAGATTTTTTAAAAAACAAATTCCATACATCCTATGTGAGAATGTAAGGGAGATTGCTTTGAAAGGGAAGGCCACATCTTGGCCTTCTTAATATATTCTGCGCAAGATGCCCCACATTTTCGTTTTGTCCTAGGCCTTGCAAATTGTGTAGTTGATCCTGGCTTCAGGATATGAACAAGCAGAGTCCACGGACGTTTCGGCTGTCCTGCAGAACCTGGCATCTGCAGTCCGGGTCAGATGGTGACAGGTCTGGGAGTGGGTTGCACCACCAGAGCCGAAAGATCCCTTCTGTCTGATTCCCAGGTGGTTGGCCCCCAGGAAATGCAGGAGAGGCCAGTTACTTGCCTTGGCAAAGACCCCTTGTCCCCTGAGCTGAGGGCTTGGCTGCTCATGTTGTTCTTCTTCTTTCTTTCTTTTTTTTTTTTTTTTTGAGACAGAGTTTCACTCTTGTTGCCCAGGCTGGAGTGAAATGGTGCGACCTTGGCCACTGCAACTTCTGCCTCCCAGGTTCAAGCAATTCTCCTGCCTCAGTCTCTCGAGTAGCTGGGATTACAGGTATGTGCCACCATGCCCAGCTAATTTTGTATTTTTAGTAGAGACAGGGTTTCTCCATGTTAGTCAGGCTGGTCTCGACCTCCTGACCTCGGGTGATCCGCCTGCCTCAGCCTCCCAAAGTGCTGGGATTACAGGCGTGAGCCACCGCGCCTGGCTGATCATGTTCTTCTTACAGGCCTCAGAGAGAGCAGAGCCACCCTGAGACCTTAGGTGCATAGCTGTCACTTCCATCCCACATTCTGCTTGCTCAGCCCTGGCTAACACACCCCAGGGGTGGCTCAGAACTGGACGTGGGTCCAGTAGGAATAGCCAGGGCTGGGGTAGGCCTCTGTTTCTGTTGCTTAGGCTTGGAACCAACATCAGTTGGGAATGGCCGATAGCCAAGGAGGGCCAAGTGATTCCTGAACAACCAGGAGTCAATGTCCCTCTGGAAAGAGCTGGGTTCCCTCTTTGCCAAGTGAAATTTGGTAGGAAAAGCTAGCCATCAGGAAAAAGCAATGACAAGGGGCAGTCACTGATGCCTGGGACACGTGAGGCCCTCGACCTCTCCCAGCTGGAGCTCAGGTATAGGCCGGGCTCAGACCCAGCCACATGCTGAGAATCACCAGGGCTATGTTTATGGGAACTTTGGCCCTTCTGCTTCCCAGAGGAAGGCTCGGGTCCTCTGTGGTGCCCCCGCTGAGCCCCTTCCCAGAGCTGAGACACCTGACTCTTGACAGACTGGTCCTCCCACCAGCCAGGTACTACTTACATGACGATGAGAGCAGCGTCTCGGGAGTAATCCAGCAGAATCTCATTCAGCCTCACCTGCCGAAGGGACTGGGCGGGAGAAAGTCGAGTAGTCACTTCCCATATCCTCAAGGTCACTCGACCCTTCACCACGTCCATGGCCTCGTTAATATTTTCAACTGGTTTAACGATTTACTTGTAGACTCTCCTGCCTCATAAATTCGTATAGACTCTCCTTCCTCCAGGAAGAAGGGGACCCTCAGAGTAATGGAGCACCAAGCTCACCTCCGCCAAGAAGCCTTCCGTGGTTTTTCCTTGCCTGACTTTATGGCCATAACCAGTGGGGTAGAGGAAAGAAAGAACACCTTACTAGGTTCAGATCTCAGCTCTCACATTTCATAGCAGGCAGAACTTGAACAAGTCAGGTTGCCTCCCTGGCCTTCATTGCCTTCATCTGTAAAATGGGTATGATGGTACCTTCTCCAGGGGAATTTGGGGAAAATCAAATGAGACAACCTATGGAAAAGCACCCGGCAGAGGGCCTGGTACACGAAAAATACTCCAGAAAAGACAGGTGAGCTAGGAGCAGAGACAGGTCGCCCCACTTCTTCTGTAACAGAGTATTGGAAGGTCTCCTTCAAACATGAGGTTTTATTCAGCATTTTCCAAAGAGCCAGATGGCTGCGTGGGCCCTTTGGGGCAGGGTCTCGGGGCTGACAGATTAGGGAAGTCCCCAGAGCTTGCGTGGGACTGGGCTGGGGGTGGGAGACTCCTTCCAACCCAAGGCCTATCTCAAATTGTTCAGAAATGATTGACACGCAGGCACTGATCACGGACGGATGCCCTATCCTGGAGACCAGGAGACCGAGGGGAAGGGAGTTCACCTGGGTAAGGGATTCCAGACCTTGCACTGTAGTTATTTGGGGCATACAAGTCCTTGCTATGGGAAGTGTCCTGCACGTCGTAGGATGTTTGGCAGCATCCCAGGTCTCTCCTCACTGCCTGACAGTAGCAACCCCCACCCCCGAGTTGTGACAAGCAAAAATGTCTCCAGAGGTTGCCAAATGTCCCCCAGGGGGTAAAATCTCTCGTGGTGGAGAATGACTGACACTGGGGGTAGAAGTGGGACCCGCCCCCTGACTCCATCGCCCGCACTCCTAGAGCCCACTCCACCTTGACACAGTCACAGCACAGCTACAGGAGGAGGCCACACCCTCTCTTAGCCCTTAGAGTTCTGAAGGTGCTGTCCAGGAAGGGGCACCATGGCTCTGAGCTGTGGCAAGGGTAGGGTCTATAGAGGCTAAGCAGGGAAGGTCAGGCAGCTGTGGTGGCACACAGGACAATTTTTTTTTTTTTTTTTTTGAGATGGAGTCTCACTCTGTTGCCCAGGTTGGAATGCAATGGCACGATCTTGGCTCACTGCAACCTCTCCCTCCCAGGTTCAAGTGATTCTCCTGCCTCAGCCTCCCAAGTAGCTGGGATTACAAGCGCCTGCCACCATGCCCAGCTAATTTTTTTGTGTGTTTTCAGTAGAGATGGGGTCTCACCATGTTGGCCAGGCTGGTCATGAACTCCTGACCTCAAGTGATCTACCTGCCTCAGCCTCCCAAAGTGCCAGGATTACAGGGGTGAGCCACCACGCCTGGCCTAACAGGACAGATTATACCTTGGCCGTCACCATGAGTCTCAGGAATCTCTTCCACTCGGCATAGAGGAAGTGGGGAGGAGAGGGAGGAGGACTCTGGGCAGTCATGCCCACTGCCAGAGCTCACTCAAGATGGGCAGGAGGACCAGGCTCCCAGGTGAAGGATAGCACTGAGCTCCACAGCCAGGTTACCCAGCAGCCTGAGCGACTGTGGTTTGAGGATCCCTCAGGGGCCGGAGTGGAAGGCAGGGTGGAGGATTGAGGGGAGGGGCTGGGGGAGTTCAAGACATGCGGGACACCCATCCCTGACTCAGTGATGTGTCGTATTTCCCACCCCCACCCCTCTCCCACACCTTGACTCTGTTCTTCCTCATCTCCTCATCTGAGATCTTCCAGGGGCAGTCCCGCCGCATCTCGTTGACAGTGGCCTCATCCTTGAAGCCATCATTCAGACGGAAGGGTGCAATCATGTCCTCAAACCTCTTGGTGCTGGGGACAAGAGAGTGGGTTGAGGCCGGCTGAGATGATAACCCCATCTCCAGGGGTGCTAGGTCCCTGCAGGGAGCTGGCATTGGTGCCACAGCTCCCATTTTCAGGCTGAAACCTACCAGACAGTGCCATTTACGAAGTGGTCTCCATGTTGAATTCAGCTCTGAAGGCTGGGTCTGGCATCCAACTGGACTTTCACAAGTTGCTCACAACCACTGACCTGCGACCCACCCGACCATCCAGCAGGTATTTACAGAGCATGATTCTGTACCAGGCTCCATCTTACACAACAGTGACCAAATCAGATCGTGCCCCAGTCCTCATGGAGCCACGGTAATAAGTAAGTAGCAAATAAATGTGAAGTGGCAGTTTTATGAAGGGACAACCAAGTACTGGGACAAAGAATAACGGGTGGGGAAGGCCCTTCTGGGACCTGAAGGAAGTCTGTCCTTGCAAAGCCAGCTGTGCATGGGACAGGGGGTGCTGAAGCGAACAGAACTGAACATGCAGAGGCCCCAAGGCAGAGCGTGTTTGGCTCATATGAGGAGCAGTGAAGGAGCCTGTGTGCTGGAGGGAGGTGAGTGCAGGGAAGGGTGGGAGGAGGTGAGGACAGGCAGGCAGTGAGGGCCCAGTAGCGCAGGGCTTCCCTATCTGCTCCAAGTGAGACCAGAAGCTGCTAGGGGGTCTTCTGTGCGACATGATTCACATCATTAAAGACAGAGATTTAGGGTTGGGGCCGGGCACGGTGGCTCACACCTGTAATCCCAGCACTTTGGGAGGCCGACACAGGTGGATCACCTGAGGTCAGGAGTTCAAGACCAACCTGGCCAACATGATGAAACCCCGTCTCTACTAAAAATACAAAAATTAGCCAGGGGTGGTGGCACATGCCAGTAATCCCAGCTACTCAGGAGGCTGAGGCAGGAGAATCGCTTGAACCTGAGAGACGGAGGTTGCAGTGAGCTGAGATGGAACTACTGCACTCCAACCTGGGTGATGGAGTGAGACTCTGCCTCCAAAAAAAAAGAGATGTAGGGCTGATCGGCATTCAGATGATGCCATCTGCTATCTGAAGCCACAGGGATGGATGAGCTCACCTGGGACAGAGTAAAGGGAGAGAAGGAAAGAGGGTCAGGGCCGAACCCCAAGGATGCCAGCAAGGGAAAGTGAGGTCAAGGAGGAAGAGCCAACAGAGGAACTGGAGGAAGGGCCCCTGATGCAGGAGGAAACCAGTGGAGGGGGTGTCTTGGAAGCCAAAAGAAGCACAATCTTAAGAAGGATCACTGTCAAGTGCAGCTGAAAGGTGGAGAGAGAGGACAGAAATGACCTCCGTGGGTGTGGCAACGTGGAGGTCACTGATGATGCTGGCAAAAGTGGTCTCAGACAGCGGGGGCAGTGGGTTGGGAGCGGGAAGATTAGGGGAGGGGAGCAGGTGTCGACAAAGTGCAAACATCCTGGAGTCTGGCTGTGCCAAGGAGAGAAATAGTCCGGGAGCTGGAGGCAGATGAAAGGTCAATGGAGGGGATTTTTAAAATAAGATGCTAGGCTGGGCACGGTGGCTCACGCTTGTAATCTCAGCACTTTGGGAGGCCAAGGCAGGTGGGTCACCTGAGGTCAGGAGTTTGAGACCAGCCTGGCCAACACGGTGAAACCCCGTCTCTACCAAAAATACCAAATTTAGCTGGGCACAGTGGCATGCGCCATTATCCCAGCTACTCGGGAGGATGAGGCAGAAGAATCGCTTGAACCTGGCAGGCAGAGGTTGCAGTGAGCTGAGATCGTGCCATTGCACTCCAGCCTGGGTGACAGAGCAAGATTCTGTCAAATAAATAAATAAATAAATAAATAAATAAATAAATAAATAAATAAATATCAGATGCTAGATGGGGTCTGTATGTTGCTCCTGCTGTCTCTTCTGCCTGGAAGATCTCACCCATCTCTTTTTGATCATCGAGGCCAGCCTTTCTCAAGGCTTTGCTTTTCCACCAACAGAGACAACCCTACTCTCCTTGACACCCTGATCTGTCTCTGCAGCATTGCGACTGCCCTTGGCATGCACCAGGCTGCAGCTATGCTTGGAGGATGGGGCTGCAGATTCCTCATCTCTGCCTCTGCAGCACCGAGCACAGCTCCTAATAAATGGTTGGAGCCAATGTATCCATCACTATTACACAGCTCCTTTCTGCTTGTCTTGATTTCCTTCCCTGTCCGTGGGGGACATCCTTATGGCTGGGAGAGGTAAGAGAAAAGTTAGGGCTAGGAGGTCAGGAGGAGACATACTTTAGTGAGGAGAGAGTCCTGGAAAACCTCATGCACACTGATTGACAAAATGCAAATCCCGTTTGTAAGTGTCTTATTTGAAGAAGATGAAGTTATACCATTTGGAAAGCAAACAGCCCCTGCTGAACCTACCGTTGGTCATTGCTACAAATTCACACAGGGGTTTGCTTAAAGTCTGTGCTCTTGCCCTCGCGTGGAAGGAGGAAGGAAGTTGTTGCCCAGGTCACTCACCATTTCCCCACTCCCAGCACCAATGTGTTAACACAACGTCAGGGGCTGCAGCCGCCTTGCCCAGGGTCCCCTCAGCCCCAGGGAGGGGATATGCCCCGGCCACAGCCACTGCAGAAGTTGTGCCCTCTGACACATCTAGGAAGGGCTTGGAGGAGAGCCCCTTGCTCCCAGCCTATCCAGGAAAAAGGGGGCAGCCGGCAGAGGGGTCTTCAGGCATACAGCTGGCCCTTCTGCCTGGAAGCCCCAAAACAGAACTTACTGCTCAGCCCGAGGGTTCTGGTTGATGTCAGGGAGGATGTGGACTTCATGGAATCCCAGTCGGAACTTGCTCAGCAGAGAAATGATCCTGGAGGACACATGGAGAGGTTTATTGTTATCACATTTTCTTGAGACAGAGTTTTGCTCTGTCTCCCAGGCTGGAGTGTAGTGGTGCAATCTCGGTTCACGGCAACCTCTGCCTCCCAGGTTCAAGTGATTCTCATGCCCTAGCCTCCCAAGTAGTTGGCATTACAGATGTGTGCCACCGTGCTTGGCTAATTTTTGTATTTTTAGTAGAGACAGGGTTTCGCCATGTTAGCCTCAGGTGATCCTGCCTCGGTCTCCCAAATGCTGGCATTATAGGCGGGAGCCACCATGCCCAGCCTGAGAGTTTTAAAAATGTATTCATTCATTCAACTCATTTTTACTGAGCACCTACTGACTACATAGCAGTGAGGAAAACAGATTAAAGCCTGCCCTTGTGGAACATAGGGGTAGGGGCAGACAGGAAACGAATACCCATAAAATGGGGTAGATGATGACAAGTGAAATGGAAAAGTAATTGACCAGACTTTCCCAAGTATCTGGTGGCCATCTCTGTACCAGTGCACCCCAAGTTTTCACATGTCTATGCAGCTGCTGAGGATGTTGTTACCATGCTGATTCTGATTCAGCTGGTCTGGCGTGGGGCCTGGGATTCTGCATTTGTAATACACTCCCAGGGATGCAATGCTGCTGGTCCACAGACAACACTTTGAGTAACAAAGGTCTAAGGGACAGGAAAGTTGAATAAAGGAAATTCTAGAGTGGCTGAGGAAGCAAAGATAACACACAAGAAACTAGGTACAGAACCAGGAGTAGCAAGACAGACGGCGCTGACTTTGCATCTAACAGGGAAGGAGAAGCCCACTGTGGTGTGTAGCCGTCAGAGAAGACTTCGCAGAGGTGGCAGTCCGGCTGGATGGTGAATGAGGGGTAGGACTGTTACAGGCCAAAGCGGGTGGGGCAGGGGAGGGTCTACACTGAAATCACCCAAGGAGCCTTCAAAACAATATGCCTGCTGAGCGTGGTGGCTCACACCTGTAATCCCAGCACTTTGGGTGCTGAGATTACACCTGAGAATACACACCTGCTGAGGCAGATGGATCACCTGAGGTCAGGAGTTCGAGACCAGCCTGGCCATCATGACAAAATGCCATCTCTACTAAAAATACAAAAATTAGCCAGGTGTGGTGGCATGCACCTAAAATCCCAGATACTCGAGAGGCTGAGGTAGGAGAATTGCCTGAACTCGGGAGGTGGATGTTGCAGTGATCTGAGATTGTGCCATTGCACTCCAGCCTGGGCAACAGAGCGAGACTCCATCTCAAAACAAACAAACAAAAAACAATACACCTGGCAGGGCATAGTGGCTCACATTTGTAATCCCAGCACTTTGGGAGGCCAAGGTGGGCGGATCATGAGGTCAGGAGATCAAGACTATCCTGACTAACACGGTGAAATCCTATCTCTACTAAAAATACAAAAAAAAATTAGCCGGGTGTGGTGGCAGGTGCCTGTAGTCCCAGTTACTCAGGAGGCTGAGGCAGGAGAATCACTTGAACCCAGGAGGCGGAGGTTGCTGTGAGCTGCGATCACATGACTGCACTCCAGCCTGGGTGACAGAGCAAGACTCCATCTCAAAAAACAAAACAAAAACAAACCAACAAACAAAAAAATACACCTGCCTGAGCCCTCCCCCACCCCCTTGCCCAGCATTGAGTCAGAAGCCCGGGGAAGGACGTAGTTTGGGCAATGCCCCATGTGATTCCGATGTGCCAGCCTGGTTAGGGACCACTGGACTGGTTGGTGGGGAACAGTCAAAATGAGGGAAGGCATCGGGGTGCAGGGGGTGAAACAGGGCAGTGAGGAGCTGGCTGGGATGCACGGAGTGTGCTGGGAGAGAAGAAGAAATGGGAGACAAGCCTGGAGGAACAGGCTGGGGCCTAGCAGTCAAGCCGCTGCTGGTCCCTGATCTTGGGGAGGGAAATTTTGAAAGCAGAGCCGTGGGTAGATTTGCTTGGTGTGCAGTAGCAGCGGAGGCTGGCAGGCCTGGGCTGTGCCTAGGCAAGGGCAGCATAGATTTGCCCCAGGATTATGTGGAGAGCAGAGGATGTGGCCCATCAAGGGACAGAGGGAGGCAGAGGAAGGGTTACATAACCCTCCCGCCAAGGGCATGCTGTTGACCCAGGCTGCCATAGCTTTGAGCTATACCAAACCTACTGAACCCAGCTTCCATTCAGAGCCAGCACAGGAAGCAGAGACTGCAGAGCAATCTCGTATCTTATTTACTTTTTGGAGATCACAGAGAAGTCAAATGCTGCTTTTCCTAAGCAACACTTTCCTTAGCATTGCTGAAAAGGGGCTTTCCCGGGAGAAGTTCTTAGTGGGGGTGAGGAGAAAGCAATAGATTGCTGGGTTTCCCTTAACTCACCTGCGGGTGACTAGAGAATGGAGCATGGGAGGCCATCCTGGCATAGGACCGGGTGGTGTGGGCCAGGAGATCCCCTCCTACTATGACCCTGGGGCATCACAGCCAGGATAGTTGCAAAGGACACTAGCGACCGGGCAGGGGTTCTTCTCTTCGGCTAATTAACTGGATGACTTTGGGCAAACCGCCCCATCTGTCTTCACCCTTCGGCCAACCTCCAGCCTACCATCTCCCACCTCACCTGACCTTGCTCAAAGCAGCAGCTGCCCAATTCCACCTGCCGACACCTGTCAACTCCACACTTGTGTGCCACCTGCCTTACTATTTACTTCCTTTTCTGTTTAAATCAACTCACATTCTGAGTTAGACACTTTTTTTTTTTTTTTTTGAGATGGAGTCTTGCTCTGTCGCCCAGGGTGGAGTACAGTGGTGCAATCTCGGCTCACTGCAACCTTCACCTCCCGGGTTCAAGTAATCCTCCTGTCTCAGCCTCCTGAGTAGCTGGGACTGCAGGCACGTGCCACCATGCCAAGCTAATTTTTGTATTTTTAGTAGAGGTGGGGTTTCACCATATTGGTCAGGCTAGTCTTGAACTCCTGACCTCAGGTGATTCGTCCACCTTGGCCTTCCAAAGTGCTGAGATTGCAGGCATAAGCCACCACGCCTGGCCCAAACTTAGATACATTTCAAAGGGAAATTTTATATCATGAGTTTATTTATTTGTTTAAATTTTACTTTATTTTTATTATTAAAAAATAGAGACAGTATCTGTTCTGTTACCCAGGCTAGAGTGCAGTGGTGCAATCATAGCTCACTGCAGCCTTGATCTGGGCTCAGTGATCCTCCTGCCTCAGCCTCAAGTAACTAGGACTACAGGTACATGCCACCATTCAGTTGATTTCTTTTTAAGTTTTTTGGTAGAAACAGGCTTTCACTATGTTGCCCAGCCTGGTCTCAAACTCTTGGCTTCAAGCAATCCCCTGCCTTGGCCTGCTGCCAGAGTGCCAGGATTTACAGGCAGAACCACTGTGCCCAGTGGATTTAAAACATCACAGTTTTAAACAGAAAACCAGCACCTCTTGCCAGGAAGAGGTGACCAATAAAACCCATGTTGATAAACCAGGGTCACTAAGTTCTGGCCAGATGCCATTGCCTGCCAAGCCCATGTGTGCAGCCTACTCCTCTTGCTCAGGGAGACAAGCACGGGTTACCAAAAGGAAGGACAGGCCAAGGCTAAACCAGGACCTTCTGCAGAATCAGCCCCAGAATTGGAGGAGAATTAAAAGGACTTCTCACCAAAAGACTCAGTGGTATTTGCTGCCTCAATCCCTGGCCACTAAAGTCACCTCTTGTCTCACCAGAACCTGCATCCCATGCATTGGGGATATTGCCTTAAAGCAGGGGCCCCTGACCCCCAGGGCTGCCAAAAGATACCAGCCATGGCCTGTTAGGAACCAGGTGCATGGCAGTGAATGAAGCTTCATCTGTAATTACAGCCACTCCTCATCGCTTGGTTTACCATCTGAGCTCTGCCTCCTGTCAGATCAGCAGTGGCATTAGACTCTTAGAGGGCCATGAACCCTCTTGCAGGATCTTAGAGGGCCAAGAACCCTCCTGATGATCTGTCACTGTCTCTAATCACCCCCAGATGGAACTATCTAGTTGCAGGAAAACAAGCTCAGGGCTCCCCCGATTCTACATTATGGTGAGTTGTATAATTTTTTAATTATATATTACCATGTAATCATAATAGAAATAAAGTGCACAATAAATGTAATGAGCTTGAATCATCCCAAAACCACTACTCTCTCCCTAGTCTGTGGAAAAATTGTCTTCCACGAAACCGGTCCCTGGTGCCAAAAGGGGTGGGGACTGCTGCCCTAAAGGGTTCTAGCCCCTACTTCATTTCTCAGGAGGAGACATGTTCTCCATCCTTCATTTCCCTGTTTCAAAAAATTATATATATTTAAATTTTTTAATGCATGTAAAATATTTATATAAAAATTTAAAATATTGGCCGGGCACAGTGGCTCACACCTGTAATCCCAGCACTTTAGGAGGCCGAGGTGGGCGGATTACTTGAGGTCAGGAGTTCAAGACTGGCCTAGCCAACATGGTGAAACCCTGTCTCTACTAAAAATACAAAAAAAAATTATCTGGGCATGGTAGCACATGCCTCTAATCCCGGTTACTAGGGAGGCTGAGGCAGGAGAATTGCTTGAACCCAGGGCGCGGAGGTTGCAATGAGCCGAGAGCAGGTCACTGCACTCCAGCCTGGGTGACAGAGCGAGAATCCGTCTCAAAAGAAAAAAAAAATATTAAAATATGTAAAAATTTTAAATATAGAGACAGGATTTTGCCATGTCACCCAGGTTGGTCTCGATCCAACTGCCTTGGCCCAGCCCATCCTTCATTTCATACAAGTTTCTCCTGGAGATTTGTTTTTTTTCTTTTTTATCTTTTTTTTTCAATTTTTCTTGCCTTTTTTTAAACTTTCAATTTAAAAAATAGATTCCTTTTCTTTCTTATTTTTATGCTTCTTATTGTCCAAACCCAGAGATTTGTGACTTTACAACCTAACTCCCTTCCCTATCTAGCAAAGCCTAGGGCGTCTGCATTTTATTGAAGTGGGCAGGAAACCAGAGCAACTTCTGGAATGGAGAGAAACCTGCTCCTGCTCCTGCCCACTGCCATGGCCTGGAGAGAGCTGGCCCTGGGCTTTGGGATAATCTCAGAGCCCACCTGGGGGCGGTGGCAGAGGATTGGGGCAGGGGAACAGTCCTGGGTGGAGCTAAGATGGCACTGGTCCTTGCAGTCGCCCGGGGCCAGCCCTCCACACTTACGCCTTTCTCTGCTGGTCCATTCTGTTAATCTGGCCGCCTACGAACACACGGATCTTACATTTGCTCCACCTCTTCTTGCGGCCAAGGAGATAGGGAATGAGGAGGGTGAGGCCTGGCAAGGAGAGTCCCCGTGAGTCATGACAAGAATACACTCAGGACAGAATACTATGTGGGTTCCTGCCCCTCTCTGCCATTAGCAAACCCCTTCCTCTCCTCGCTGGACCTCAGTCGACCCATCTGTATAATGAACAAGACTGACTAAACCCAAGTTGCACATGGTGCTCTGTGGGGTAGGGTTTATTTGTGCTTGTGCAGTGTATTTAAATATACAAGCTGGCGTCCGGGCGCTGTGGCTCATGCCTATAATCCCAGCACTTTGGGAGGCCAAGGCAGGCAGATCACCTAAGGTCAGGAGTTCGAGACCAGCCTGGCCAACATCCAACATCGTAAAACCCTCTCTCTACTAAAAACACAAAAAATTAGCCAGGCCTGATGGTGCATGCCTGTAATCCCAGCTACTCAGGAGGCAGAAGCAGGAGAATCGCTTGAACCCACGAGGCAGAGGTTGCAGTGAGCCAAGATCCCACCACTGCACTCCAGCCTGGGCGACAGAGTGAGATGCCATCTAAATAAATAAATAAATATAAAAATTAGCTGGGCATGGTGGCAGGTGCCTGTAGTCCCAGCTACTTGGGAGGCTGAGGCAGGAGAATCGCTTGAACCCGGGAGGCGAAGGTTGCAGTGAGCTGACATCACGCCACTGCACTCCAGCCTGGGTGACAAAGCGAGACTCCATCTCAAAAAGAATTAAAAAAAAAAAAAAGTTGTCATTTCATAATTGAGGAGTTTCCCATAAAAGTCGAGGAATCCAGGTCATTGGCAGTTCTTGAAGAGTGAATATTTGACCAGCGTGTGGGAGCCCTCAGCCCTCTCTGTTGTCTCTCCACACAAGACCAAGGACTAGCGGTCACATATCACCTTGTAATCCTCTGTGCCTCAGTTTCCTTATTTATAAAGGGGAGTTAATCATGACAGCTCCTACCTGGGGACTGCATTAGGTAGGGAATTCCCTGTCAGGCAGGTAGTAAGTGCTCAGCCTATTTTGGCAATTATTAATAGGATTTGTTCCATTGGAACAAAGATATTTTCTTTCTATCTGTGACTCTATCAAAGGTAGGAGGAATAAAGCTGAAAGTCACTTTTTTTTTTTAATGGGAAATTTTTCATTGTGAAGTGAAAAATATTCTTCCAGCTTTCCTGGGCACCACCCATTTCCCCGTTTATATCACCTGCCTGTGCCCCTAATGGCCATCTAGTCAGAAGATTCCATCTTGTGGCAACTTCAGCTCTTCTCTCAAAGTTTCCCATTTTATAACCAAAAAACTAGAGGCCAGACAGAGGGGTCCCTCCAGGCTCCCCTGAGCTCACTGGTGGGCCCAGAAGCCCCTGTCCCCTTTGAGAGCAGGCCAGGAACGAAAGGGAAGGAAGACCACCCCACCCCACCCCCGCCGGGCAGGGGGGCTGATCCAAGGGGGGCACTGACCTCCGTCGTCAAAGAGCCAGTAGATGTCGATGGTCTTCTTGCCTTGCTCCGACTGGAAGACAGTGGTGGCCTGCTCCTCCTGCACCAGGGCCTTGGGGTCCACTGCAGGAGGTGGGGACGGGTCAGAGCAGAGCCAGCTGCCGCACATCCTGGCAGGCCTGGCCCAGGGCCCCACCAACACCCCTTCTGATGCTGAACACGGGTTCTCTGGCAGGTGGAACAGGAACCGGGGCCCAGGACGCTCAGTGCTGTGATATGCCCCTGGCCTGCTCTCAGCTTCTCTCTCCCGGGATTCTGGTGAGTACTGGGGGTGGAGGCAGTCCCAGAGCCCTCTGGGTAGGTAGGGAAATGCACTCTCCATTCCCTTAAACACCTCCCTGCGCCCTTCACAAATGCCCATAGGAGCCCTCCCACCTGTACTGCGGGCCCCCTGCCTCCTGGGGTGATGGTGGGAGAGGATGAAGGAAAATCCTGCCCCACCCTGCATGGCTAGAGGGGCCTTGGCAGGGGTGGGACAAGGGCCCCAGAGCCTGCTAGGTGGGTCCCCGTCATTCTCTGACCCTGAATTCTCCACCTCCTGGCAATCTTTTTTCCTTTTTTGAGACAGGGTCTCACTCTGTCACCCAGGCTGGCATGTAGTGGTGTGGTCACAGCTCACTGCAGCCTGGAATTCCTGCCTCAGCTTCCCACAGTGCTGGGATTACAGGTGTGAGCCACTGCACCTGGCTGCTGGCAATCTTTGACATGGCCAAGCCCCTCCAGTTCCCAACTCCAGTTACTCAGGCACCACTGTCACAAGAAAAAACCACCTTCCTCGACCAAGTTCCCAGGTGGCCCACCCCTAGCTGCCCCACAGGACGAGAGTGCCCTGAGCTCTGAGTAGGAACACTGACAAGCGCCAGAGACTGATGGCCTGGCACCTCTGGTGCTGGCTTCCTTCCCGTCCTCCGCTGGGTCAAACACGGGGTTAACTGAAAAAGAAGAGGCAGCTTTGTTCATAGGCTCTCCTTGTCTGAGGGCACCATGGGTTCCTCCTTGACAGGGCTCCCTTAATGCCAGGAAGAAAGTCCCAAGGCCCCGCCTGGCCTCCACGGCCCCACTGCACCTTGCCCTGGCTTCTCTCTGACCTGCCTCCTGCCCAGCTCCTCACACTCCAGTCATGCCTGGCCTGTCAAACAGGCCAAGTACATCCCCACCTTGGGCCATGGTGGTGGGTGCGCCCCGAGCTGGAACATACTTTCCCTAGCCTTGGCCTCCTCAGCAAGAGGCCCCCTCCTGAGGGAGGCCTTCCCTGGCCACTACGCCCTGCACACGTTTTCTCAAGACACGCTCATGATCTGAGATGACTTATGCGCCCACTGGGAAGCGTCTGCTTTTCCCTCTGGAGTGTCAGCTTCTCAAGAGCAGAGGCTTTTTGGCTTTGCCGTGCCTGTAACCCCAGCACCAAGAGCAGCGTTGGTCAGGAGCGGAGTTGCTGCTCTGTAAATAGTGGTTGCATAAATAGTTATTGACCAGCTGCTGTGTGCCAGGCATGCACTCAGCAACGGCACAAATGAATGGACCCAGCCCCTGGCTGCAAGAGACGCGGACTCCAAGCTCCCAGTCTCTTCAGCACTGCCTCCCATTTGTTGCCATAAACGTTATTGCTTTCACACCTCTAGATATTTCCTTTTTTTGTTTGTTTTTTTGTTTTTTGAGACAGACTCTTTCTCTGTCACCCAGGCTGGAGTGCAGTGGTACAGTCATGGCTCACTGCCGCCTCAAACTCCTGGACTCAAGCTATCCTCCCACCTCAGCTTCCCAAGTAGCTGGGACTCCAGGCATGTGCCACCACACCTGGTTAATTTTTTATTTTTAGTAGAGACGGGGTCTTGCTATGTCACCTAGTCTGGTCTTGAACTCCTAGACTCAAGCGATCCACCTGCCTCTGCCTCCCAAAGTGCTGAGATTACAGACACGAGCCACCACACCCAGCCTCTCTAAATATTTTTTATTTCAGAGTCTGCAGTCATATATGACTTTAAAATGCAAAACACATCCCTATTCAGTGGACCAAAATGCCCAGTTCCCATGGTCATTATTTATTTTCTTTCTTTCTTTTTTTTTTGCTGACCTCAAGGAATTTACATTCCGCTTTACTACATTACAATAATGTTCGCTCAGTAGCACTTTGTTTTGTTATACGTTCAAAGAAAATTCTCAATATGATATGTACATTTAAACTTAACATTAACCAAGTCCTGAATCATTACTTTTGTCTTATTGCAAATCTGATTTTATTTACTGTAAAAACCACTTCCATCTATATATTGAGTGAGGAGTGGGAATTATGTCTTTCTATTAACTGGATGATGATATGGACAAACAGATGCTAATATGGCAGCTGTTCAAGTACTTTATTTTATTCCACTGCGGAGATTGGTCTCATAATATCCATAGCATGATTTTTTTTTCCTGGTCATTATGTATTTTCATATTCCGGCATATTCCTGCAGGCATTTTCCTCTCCCCTCTTTCCTGGTTTTCTATTACATCCATTTTTTTTTTTTTCTTTTTCTTTTTTTTTCTGAGATGGAGTCTTGCTCTTGTCACCCAGGCTGGAGTGCAATGGCGCAATCTCGGCTCACTGCAACATCCACCTCCTGGGTTCAAGTGATTCTCCTGCCTCAGCCTCCCAAGTAGCTGGGGTTATAGGTGTGCACCAACCCTATGCCCAGCTAATTTTTGTATTTTCAGTACAAAAATTGTACTAAAGTACAATTTAGTGATTGTGTGGCCAAGTGATCCACCCGTCTTGGCCTCCCAAAGTGCTGGGATTACAGGTGTGAACCACCATGTCTGGCCTATAGTAGATCCTTTTGCCCTGACCCGATTGTGATTCGGGGAACTCTGAGTTCCAGTCCTGGCTCTGCCCCAGCTGGGAAGCATGACCTTGAACGGGTTGCCTTCTCTTTCTGGGAAACCTTATGGGCTCTAATGGACCATTAAGAGGCAGGCAGATCACGAGGTCAGGAGATCGAGACCATCCTGGCTAACACGGTGAAACCCTGTCTCTACTAAAAATACAAAAAATTAGCCAGGCGTGGTGGCGGGCACCTGTAGTCCCAGCTACTGGGGAGGCTGAGGCAGGAGAATGGCATGAACCTGGAAGGTGGAGCTTGCAGTGAGCTGAGATCACCCCACTGCACTCTAGCCTGGGCGACAGAGGGAGACTCTGCCTCAAAAAAAAAAAAAAAAGAAAGAAAAAGAAAAAAAGAGGTGACTTTCTATGAGTCTGTAACCTTTTATTTCTTACTCATTTTTCCCTCTGCCATTAAAAAAAAAAAAAAGATTCTAGAACTTTCTGGGAGTGGGCATGGCATGTACTCACTGTGTGCCTGCATCATCTTGGACACATTGAGTCCCTCCCGCATCCTCATGACACACACACCATAGTTGAAATCAAAGGCATCGCTGGAAAGAGAGGAGGTGAGGTCTAGCTTCTCCCCGAGATCCCACCGGGGAGGTGACCTGGCACCCAGGAGACCAGATGTCTAGAGTTGGTTCTGCCTCCTACCACACCCTTTCTGTTCTCTGGGCCTCAGTTTCCCCATCTGTATACTGTACAGGCAGAATTGGAGAGTACCCCAGGACTCCTTCAGCTCTACAGTCTGTGGCACTGTGGATCCTGCAGATCTGGTACTCAGGGGAACCAAGTCAGCCCTGTCCTCCTGATACATTTGGATAATTCCTCCCAACTCTGCCCATGGAGGTGGGGATGGTAATTATTACCTCCATTCTACAGATGCAAAAATTGAGTTTTGGAGAGTAACTTGCCCATGATCACATAGCTAAGGGAGTGAGCAGCTGGGATTAGAATCATATGGCTGAGACTGTAGACCAAAGGACAGACATGCCCATGAGAAAAGCTTTACTCCTGCAATAGGCTGTCTATAAAGATGTCTGGAGGCCGGGAGCAGTGGCTCATGCCTGTAATCCCAGCACTTTGGGAGATCAAGGCAGGCGGATCACCTGAGGTCAGGAGTTCGAGACCAGCCTGGCCAACATGGCGAAACCCCATTTCTACTAAAAAATACAAAAATTAGCTGGGCGTGGTGGAGTGCACCTGTAATCCCAGCTACTCCAAAGGCTGAGGCGAGAGAATCACTTGAACCTGGGAGGCAGAGGTTGTGGTGAGCCAAGATCGCACCATTGCACTCCAGCCTGGGCAACAGAACGAGACTCTGCCTCAAAAATAAAAATAATAAAATAAAATAAATTTAAAAAATTAAAGGTGTCTGGAAGACTCTTGTTCCAAAGATGTATGTACTGCCTGATTGACACAGTGCCCAAGAGCCCACCTACTACTGGGGTTTGGGCCAATGGGTTGCGCATTGCCCTTCCTGGGCTCCTTAGATCACATATCTCTGGTAAAGGACTTTTCAGGCCTTGCTTTTTGAAGGTTTGGAATGTTGGAGGTGGAGAGAGGCTGGAGATCAGGTATTCTATCAGTTGCTGCTATAATTCTGTTAGCAGCAGCTGAGAGGATTGCTCTGAGTCCTATAGCTGGTTAACAGCATACCTGGAAGCAGGTCCCAGGGCCCCAGCCCTCAGCTTCGTGTTGTTCAGTGATACCACAAACAACGACATCAACACAGAAAAGCCACGCAGGCAGGCATCTCTGGACCTCACACAGCAAGTGCTGATAAGAGTTTGGAGTCAGCCCTGAAGTCCCCAGGGAGTTCGGTCCTCAGGGCCTGGTTTCACTTCCCTGTTCAGGGGCATCGCCTCAGAGTTCTTGACTGGCTCCCTGTGCACCTTCTGGAGCCCACAGGGAGGCATGAGGTTCTCACCTAAAAACTCACGTTTGCAGTTCCTCTGAAAAATTAAAAGATCTGGCAACATTGGGCCCACGTTTCCGCATGGGCACTAGAGCCCATCCTGCATGGACACGAGTCAAGTAAGAGCCACTCTCACTGGGTTGCCACAGTCTCCACTGCTCCCTATCACCCCATGCCTGGCCCGCTTCACTCATGGTGCTACCTGCCTGGCCCCAGCTGGCTTTGGTGTCCATGACTCATAGGTCAGAGATGGGCATCTTCAGCCTCAGCCTGTTTCTTCTTTAGCTTTGAGCAAATGGACTCAACTTCTTTTTCAAAGACAGGGTCTTGCTCTTTCGCCTAGGCTGGAGTGCAGCAATGCGATCTTCGCTCACTGCAGCCTCCAACTCCTGGGCTCAAGTGAGCTTCCTGCCTCAGCCTTCCATGTAGCTGGGACTATAGATGCCAGCCACTTTGCCCAGCAGGACTCAACTTTTTAAGCACCCACTACTTCTTTTCCACTTCTCAAGGCCCAGTGGCCCAAATTAACAGATCCCAAGCCTCTTCCTCTCCCCTGACTCACTGGAGGATGCCAATGTAGTCTTCCACTGTGGCTGGGTGGGCCGACTGCCAGTTCTTCTTGAACCCGACCACCAGAATGTTGGGCTTCATTCTCCCGAGACCTGTGGCCTGCCAGGGGATGGGGTGAGATGGGGAATCCATCAGAGGGGCAGAGTTGGTGATCCGCCTGGCCAGAGGCACCAGCTTTCTTATGTCTCCAGATGTGCTGATTCTCAAAAAAAAAAATACACACACACACACACACACACACACACACACACACACACACACACATATACAATCTTAAAAAAATTTGTTTTGCACAAAACAAAACTTTTTTGGGAGAAAGATGGCTGATGGGAGGAAATATCTGAATTCCAGAATCCTCGATTCTAGTTCTCGCTTGGTCACCAACACCCTACATCCCTCCCAGGGCCCCCGAAAGTTAGCATTGGCCAAGGTGACACCAGCCCCACAGGCTTCCAGGTCAGTTTCCCAGGTCCTGGGCATTCTGAAAAAGTGCCCAGAATCAGCACATCTGGAGACATAAGAAAGCTGGGGCTCTCGTCAGGCATGGTGGCTCATGCCTGTAAACCCAGCACTCCAGGGAGCCAAGGCAGGTGGATCACCTGAGGTCAGGAGTTTCAGACCAGCCTGGCCAACATGGTGAAACCCCGTCTCTACTAAAAACACAAAAAAATTAGCCGGGCATGGTGGCGGGTGCCTGTAATCCCAGCTACTCAGGAGGCTGAGGTAGGAGAATCGCTTGAACCTGGGAGGCAGAGGTTGTTGCAGTGAGCTGAGATCGCATCACTGCACTCCAGCCTGGGTGACAAGCAAAACAAGTCTCAAAAAAAAAAAAAAAAAAAAAAGTTGGGGCTCCTTCTGCAGCAAAAGAGGCTTAGGCAAAGGGGCTCCCGAGACTTTCTGCCTTCCAGGTTGTGTCACCGATCCATAAGTCCTGTAGGGGAGCCCCCAGTCCACGGCACCTGCATGAGGATCTGGACGCCTTTGCGGAGGTCCTCGGCAATGACATCCGAGTAGAAGGCCTTGATCTTCCTCTTGTTCAGCCACTTGGTGTGCCCGTTGGCGATGAGCTGGAGCTCAGGCATCCTCTGCTTGTGCGGTCCCTATGGGTGGGTGGGACAGGGGACATCACTGGCTGCCCTTACCCTCCAGCCTGAGATTCAGCCCCTCTCCTGCCCTGGAGGCTGCCCCAGGGACTTGGCAGCACCCACAGTGCCCTTTTCTTTTGCCCAGATAAGAGAAACACAAGGAGTGGGGGAGAAAGCAGGGAGGAAGGGAGAGGGAGGGAGCAGAAAAGAGGCAGGGCAGCTCGGGGAGAAGCCAGCAAGAGGGGCCAGGAGGGGGAGAGAATGGGATCCATGGGGGTGCCTGGCTGGGCACCCCTTGCTCCGCATCCCCTTGGCCCCCACTCTGTGGGTTGACATCACAGACAGGCGGCTCCCCCAGGAGTACTGCCCTGCGCCCCTCCAGGGGCCACTCACAATGAGCACGTGGCCGCAGATCATCAGGCTGAGGTTCCGGGTGAAGGTCCCCACAAAGTCCACCAGGGCCGGGCGGAAGTTGGGGGGCCCCGTGAGCACCAGGCACTGGGGGCTGAGGAGGGAAGGGAAAAGGGCAGCAGCCAACAGGAGAGAGCCCATGGGGGTCTGGGTGCGAAAGGCACCTCCCAGGCTCCCTGAATGGCGGTGTGGCCACCAGCATGACCCTACATGCCTGGGGCCTTGGCTTCCCGCCTATAAATCCAGGGTGACTTTTGGGGCCCTTCCCGCTCTTTTGGTGACCTCTACACTAGTCTCCCTGGTCCTTCCTGCTCAGGCCACCAAATGCTACCCTCCATGCTTCTCCCCTGCCCTGCCTAGCCCAGCACGGTGGGGGAAAGAACAAAGCCTGGGAGTGAGGAAGTCTGTCACTTACAAACTCATCAGTTACCCAGGCAGGTTACTCAAGAGGCAGCAGATGACAGTGGTCAAGGGCCATGACCTGAGTCAACTGGAGCCAGACCTAACCGGCCACTCACCAGCTGTGTGACCTGGGGCCAGTTACTTAACCTCTCTGTGCCTCAGTGTTCTTGTCCATGACTGGGTTAGTAATTTCCTGGACCTCAGCCGGTTCTTGTAAGGCTGTGTAAGACACTTTGCAAGCACCTGGCTCATGGTAAGCATGACAAAAATAGATATTGCCAATAATTATTGGGATCTGGTGGGAAGGAGATGGCAGGTGCATAATCCTCCTCGACAAAGAGGGGAATCAGCTTTGAAGAGTACCCAGGGAAAGTTCATCACCGTTGGTTCCGGGGATACTGTGATGGGAGCTGCAGCAACAATCACCTCGACAACAAAGCACATTCCCACTGTGGAAACTGAGGCATAGAGAGGCCCCCTTGACTTGCTTGGTCCCCATCAGGATATGCCCACCCCTGTCTCGTGGCGGCTGGGTGGCTCCTCCACCTCTGTTCCCTCTCTCAGTGGAGGCTGCACACACCCTGGGTCTGCCTGGGTCAGGTGACAGGTCTGGGCTTGGAAACTCCCAGGGTGGAGCCATCACTGGCCCCCGGGTCCCAGGTTGGTCCCAGCAGCTCTGCTCACCGGTAGTTCTTGATGTGGTCTTCCACCTCATTGAGGCCCACTGAGTAGCTCAGGGCCAGGTTGTAGGAGCCGGCCTGTACCGAGGAGCCCCAATTTACCTCTGGGGGAGCAAGGGAGCAGCAGGGGTGAGAGCAGTGTTAGGAATCAGTAGAAGAAACCAGACATGCGGAGGGATGGAGGCAATGTTGGCCTTCTCGAGGCACTGGGCACCCATGGGAGCAGGGCTACCTGGGGTTGGCAGCCTATAGGGTGGAGGCCTGCAGACCGTGTGGCTGCACGTTGAAAAATTACACATCAAGGCCAGGCACGGTGGCTCACACCTGTAATCCCAGCACTTTGGGAGGCTGAGGTGGACGGATCACCTGAGGTCAGCAGTTCGAGACCAGCCTGGCCAATATGGTGAAACCCTGTCTCTACTAAAAATACAAAAGTTAGCCATGTGTGGTGGCACACACCTGTAATCCCAGCTACTCGGGAGGCTGAGGCAGGAGAATTGCTTGAACCCGGGAGATGGAGGTTGCAGTGAGCCGAGACTGTGCCACTGCACTCCAGCCTGGGTGACAGAATGAGACTCTGACCCACGGTCCCCCCTCAAAAAAGTTATACATCAAGCTCCACACGATATCCTCCTGCCTTGCCAAACCTTCACGATGGCCTAGAAGCCCAGGTTGAGACTTAGAATCCCAGGCTTTTTCAGAGCCCTGTTTCCCGTCCTTAGGTCGCTGCCACCCCAGGGTCCTTGCCTGCAGACAAGTAGAGACCTTGCTCGGAGTCCAAGATTTGTCTGCCTGCCATCCACACAGCCAGCCCTCGGCCACCCCTGAGGCCTAGGTGTGCACAGCAGCCTGCTGACCCCTCTTGGGGGACAGCCCTAGGGAAGAGGCCAACGTAGGCCCTGGAAGCTCACTTAGGGTCCTTTGGACAGGGGATTCCCGGGTCCTGGGTGCCCAGGGGTGGCTTAGAAGTCAAGGCATGGGCCCTGAGTGGGGATTTCCCTTGGGGTTCCTTGCCACGTGGGGAGGGATGAAGGGGAGGGGAAGAGAGGGGCCCTGGACAGCACAGAGCCTGACTCAGGGCTCTCCAGCCAGGGGCAGAGGGCAGAGCCGCCTGCATGGCTACCCTGGGGGAGGAGGGCCGCAGCCTCGCAGCTGAGATGCACACCTGGCTTCTTGTAGATCACATAGAGCAGGAGGAAGAGCACCACACCGATGGCGATGAGGGCCGCCCACCAGGTGAGGAGGAACATGATGACCACAGAGATGATAGCCCCGAACAGCGCCGCCCACTTGTTGTAGTACTGGAATGAAGGTCTCCACCCTGGACCGAGGGCACCAATCAGTGGACATGCCTGGCACTCTGGAGCCTCCTTCTAGGCCAGAGCTGCTGGGCAGGGCCTGGCAGTAATGCGAGCAGTGCCCAGAGTCGGGGTCCCAGCCTGAACCCGCCAGCCATGAGCACCACCCTGCCTCCTGGGGCTGGGTCTACAGGCTCTGGGGCAAATCACACACCTGCCTCGGCTGGCATTTCACCAGGAGCATCCAGCTCTGGCCAAATACGGCCACAGGACATCCCATGTCAGCAACAGCACCAGCTCCCATGGTGCCAAGGGGGTGAGATGGAGGGGGAAGGATATGATTCTGCCTGGCTCCCCACCCGCAGGCCAGGCCAGGGCTGCCACTAGTGACAGCTGCCTCATGGCGCAACTCCAGTGCCATCATGAACATTGGGGTCTATGTAAAAGGTGGCCTGGTAAAAGGCAATGGCAATTTGGAGCTAGTTAGAAAAAGTTTTCCTCAAGACTCTTTATTGCCATCTGCCAGAAGTTTTCCATCATAAACACGCAAATGTCTGAAATCTATGATATGAATGGTGCCTCCTAGAGTTATGCAGTGTGCAACCTGCAGCACTGTGTGTGACAGTCTAGCTGTGACTTTGGGCAATTCTCTTTCTCTGAGGAATCAGGCTCCCGATTCCTGTAAAACTGGGGAAGGCAAAGACTGGAAAACCTCTACAGATGGCAAACAATGTATGAATCCATGTAAAGTGCACACTGTCAGTGCTTGAGAAAGGAGAGCCGCTATTATTATTATCATTATCATTATTACTATTATTTGAGACAGAGCCTTGCTCTCTCACCCAGGCTGGAGTGTAATGGTGCGATCTCAGCTCACTGTAACCTCCCTTTTCCCAGTTCAAGTGATTCTCCTGCCTCAGCCTCCCGAATAGCTGGGATTACAGGTGCCTGCCACCACACCCGGCTAATTTTTGTATTTTTGTAGAGACAGGGTTTCACCATGTTGGCCAGGCTGGTCACAAACTCCTGACCTCGAGTGATCCGCCCACCTCGGCCTCCCAAAAATGCTAGGATTACAGGCGTGAGCCACCGCGCCCAGCCGAGAGCTATTATTCTATTAATGTTCCCTTTCAATGGTTTTAAATTGAGAGGTGACCTTGGGCTGCCGACCTCCACCCATGCCTCACACTCCCACCCCATGCTCCCTTTCCCCTTAGCCCCTGGGTGCCTCCTCCTGAGGTGGGTGAAGGGTTTGCTTACCAGGCGAGTTGGTGATGGAGGCGTGGAAGCAGCTGAAGTTGATGAGGGCATAGGAGCAGAGGAAGAAGTTGGAAATGATGGGGGCTATGGTGTTGAGCTCAGCTTCAGGAACCCAGGGAGAGAGAGGACAGCCCGTTGGGCAACTCTGCCAAGGACTGGCTTGGCACGCTCCTTCCCAATGTGGGGGACCCCAGACAGGCCACCAAGGCTCAGTCAGTCTCAACCTTCTCATCTGTGAAATGGGTCCATCTCATCTGTGAAATGGGTCCATCCTTTTGTGAAGCTCAAAGGGATAGTGTCTTGTAAACTGTAAACACCCAGCTTTTAAGACAGTGGGGGTCAGTGTGACAGTAGACCCCACCAGGCTATGGGATGACCAAGGGTAGTTGCTGTCATACTGTTTTGACCACAAATGACAGCAAGAAATACTTTTTTTTTTTTTTTTTTTTGAGACAGAGTCTTGCTCTGTTGCCCAGGCTGGAGTGCAGTGGCATGATCTCGGATCATTGCAACCTCTGCCTCCTGGGCTCAAGCAGTTCTCCTGCCTCAGCCTCCCTAGTAGCTTGGATTACAGGTGTGCACCAACACGCCCAGCTAATTTTTGTATTTTTAGTAGAAACGGTTTCACCATGTTGGCCAGACTGGTCTCAAACTCCTGATCTCAAATGATCTGCCTGCTTCGGCCTCCTAAAGTGCTGGAATTACAGGCGTGAGCCATTGCGCCTGGCCAGAAATACATTTTGCAATGTGACCCAGGATAGCTAAGGCCGTAGCACAGCTCCACCCCAGTGGTACCCCAGTGGTACCCCAGTGTTCACCCACCCAAGAACTGCTTCCTCTTCCCCGTCTCCCTGTTACCCTCCCCTGCCACTGCCCCCAGCACCCCAGATAAACTTTCACATATGAATCCTTGTCTTGGGGCCTGCTTCTGGTGATCCCAAAACACAGCGTGCACCAATATGCCAGGTCCTCTGTCCATGATTTCATGTAATCACCTAAGAACCCTGCCCGGATCCTCAGTCTGAAGTCAAGTCAGACCCACCCAGATGAAAGGACATCGAATCTGAATCAGGGTACATTGCAGGGAAATGTGTTTCTGGGCCCCGGTGAGCAGGAAGCAGAGACAGGGCCAGAGAATATCAAGTCTGACCAGACTTTTCCATCCCTGCCACCTCTTCATGTGGTTCAGGACCCAGTAGCATCCGGTGTCTGGAAAGCTTCCCTTGGGTAATAGTGACTAGGCTATCAGGGCAAATCTCATGGACTGTGATGCCAGCCTGAACAGCATGGATTCACTGGTGGCAGGAGGGTGCCCATGAGCCCAGGGAGGCTGGCCGGTAGTCTACCCCCCGCCCCAGTCCTGCATAGGGAGCAGGGGCCAGGGGACATCATGTCGCAGCATGGCCACCTCTCTCCTAGCGAGTTCTGCCTCCATAGCTAAGTAAATTAGGCAAGTACCGGGTGTGTGCACATGTGAGTGTGTGTGCATATATGAATGCATGTAGATCTTCCTGCACACATGGTGTTTTCCTGCCCATCTGAGACACACCTGTTAGGCACTATTGCTCCCATTCTGCAGATGAGAAAAATGAGGCTCAGAGAGGTGAAGTAACTTGTCTAAGGTCACACAACTGGCACATGGCAAAGCCTGGATAGGAAGTTGATCTAATGAACCAATTACCTGGGCTCTTTTCTCCTAAGATATCTGCCATCTTGAAGCCCAAGGAGTCTAGAAGCCCCAGGTCTGAGGAACTGGGTTATCTAGTTTATATACCTATGAGGATACTGACCAGCCATTGGTATCCCATCCCAAGAAGGGACCAGTCAGCTTGTCCCATGCTCCAGAGGTGTTCTGGGGGTTTGTTTAGGCCCAGGGAAGTGGGATGCTAGCTGCCAGGACACGCGAATGCAGACTGGGGGAACAGGTAAGTTCTCTTCTAACAAAGCAGAAGGCTCTGCTGCCTGACATGGTTTGGGAGCCACCTGCCTGGAGGTGGGAAGGGGAAGGATCACACGGCCCCCTGACATCTCCTCCCAGGTGGGGCCTCACCCCTCAAGACAGCCTCTGAGTGCCCACTAATTGTCAGGCCCGGCGGGGCTCTGGGGCGGGGAGACAAGGAGGCAGGAGAAAAGCCTGGCCCCCGTGCCCCTCATGGCCGGCCAGGGGAACAGGAGGCCGGGCCCTGTGAGCCCTGGCAAAGCCTTACCGATGATGATGAAGGCCACGGCGATGGCGTAGGCCAGCAGGTAGCCGCGCACGGGCTCCTTGTTCTTGCCGTAGCCTTTGCCGAAGAAGCCGATCAGTGGGTACAGCTGGTCCTCGCAAAGGCACTGCAGCACCAGAGGCCTCACTCACCCCCAGGCTGGAACCTGCCACCTCCCCTCCCCTGGGGCCACCTGAGCTCCAGCCCTGGCTCGGTGCCCTCTGTGACCTCCCCAACCTGGGTCCTGGTGTCTGTTTCTATTAAACAGGGATGATCACTCTCCCTCCGCCCTACCGTGAAGACAGTAAAAGGGCATGACCAGGGCGTGGATGGCTTCGGGTAGAGCTTGAATGGTGGAGTTGCGGACAGGATGCAGGTGGCACAGGTGGGAGTTTGTGGTGGGGGCTGCAGGTGTTCATCAAATCACACCACTGGAAGGGGCTGCTTCCTTCAAGAGTTTGCTGATAGCTCTTTTTCCCTTCTGGCTAGAGACCCCGGTCTAATGACACCTTCCGCTATTTGTAGCAGTCAGCCAGGTACCCGCCCTGTTGTGCCTCTAGCCCAGGCTCCTCACCCCCCATCATCTCGACCCCTTTCTGTGGCCTCACCTGGAAGACTTTGGCAGCAGAGACAAGGCAGGCCAGGGCGGAGGAGAGGGTGGCCCCGAAGATGCCAGCCGTGATCAGGGGCGCAAAGCCTGACACCATGCTCATGGTCTGTGGGGATTTGGGGCTCAGGGACTCCATGGTGGGGGGCTGAGCCAGGAGTCCCCATCTGTGGCATCTCATTCCCTACTGTGGGCAGGGGCTGGGTCCTGAGCCTCCATCTGAGTCCAGGACCCACCCCTGGAGATCCCAGTGTCCACCCACAGGTCAGGACTGGACAGACCTGGGCTCTGAACCCCTCTCCCCTAAGCCTAGGGCTCAGCCCCCAAAACTGTACCCCCCCCCACAAACTTCCAGACCCGCAAGGGGCCCTGCAGCCTCCACCCAGCCCCCACTGAGTCTGGTGGATCAGCCCTCCTGGCGGTAACCTGGTAATAGTTGATGAGGCCGTAGCGGCAGCTGTGCTGCTGGGTGCACTCGGTGAAGTTCCAGCCATAGCCGCAGGCCAGCCCCTCGCAGGCACCCCAGCCAGGGGTCACTGTGTCATTCAGGACCCCAGAGGCATCACGAACCACGCAGGAGCCTGAGAGGAGGAAGGAGAACGTGGGGAGGTCTCCCTTCCCTCCTTACTCTGTCCTCTTCCAGCCCCACCTCTGTAGAGGGTGAGACACTGCAGATGACGGGCAGCTGTCCCTTCATCATGCAATGATAATGATGACAATGGAGGTGTGCCGGGAGCCATGCTAAGTACTTTACAACAACCTCTGAGCAGGCATTACTATTATTTTTGCTGTTGCCATTTTACAGAGGCGTAGAGCTTAAGTGACCAAGATCACAACGTCCTCCTTAGATCGGAGACCTGGATCTCAAACCTTGAGTGGCTGTGAGCTGGACCAAGTCCCTTGGCCATTTGTGAACAGCTTGCCTCAAACGGGGCCACTGGGAGCAAGTGCACCTGTGAGAATCTCAGTTCCAGGCAGGTGTTAACAGCCCAGGCCTGGGCTCAAAGCCTGGCTCCACCACTCAGTGGCTGTGTGACCCTGGGCAGATCACTTAATATCTCTGAGCCCCCATTTTCTCCTTGGTGAAATAGGGAAAATGACAGTGATAGGATTGGCATGCAAAGGGCTGGGCATGTGGGAAGTCAGTTGCTGGTATTATCATCATCATCACTCCTAGATTTGTCCTGTAGGATCTTCACACTTATGAATCTGGGCCCTCAAGGGACCCAAGGAGCCTGGTCTGACCCCGCCATGCCCACCGCCATGAAGATGCTCTGATCATTGTCAAGATACCCTAGAGATAGGTTCAAGGCTTCACATCCTGAGGTTGCCATACCCTCCCAGCCCAGCTCTCCGTGTTAGAGAGTCAAACCCCACCCTCTGATCCCCGCAGTGGTGGGGGGTTTGGGACACGGCAGGGTGGAGGCCAGGTCCCTCCCCTTCCTGACTGGCTGGGGTGGCCACTTACCAATGGTGGCTGAGATGGCCAGGTAGGAAATGGTGGTCCAGAAAATGGCCATGAGGGTTCCCTTGGGGATGGCTACAGCAGGGTCCTGCAGGAGGGAGAGAAGGAGGGAAGGAAGGAGGGAGGACATTAGGCAGCCCCTGGGCCTCCTTCCAGGCCTGTCCTCCTTGTCTAAGGCTAAGGCTGGGGACAGCAACCTCTGACCTTGGCCCCTCAGAGCCCCCGTTCCAGCACAGAGAGCAAAGAGCCTCATGACTGAGGACCCCCACAGAGGGATGAACACAACTGAGATCACAGGGCGGAGACTCCACCTAAGCCCCTGGGAGATGGAGGCAGAGAGAAGAAATTCAACAGCTCCACGCCTGGGCCACAGAGGGCACTTGGCCAGGGCTTGCTTTGAGGGTGGTGAGGGCGGGGGTAGGGTGGTGGGCTCTGGAGTCGGCCTGCCCGGGTTCAGTTCCAGGTGGCCAGCTGGGCAGGGGGCTGTGCTCTCATACCCCGGCCCCTTATCTGTCAGGGATGTTGGTGAAATAAATTAATCCACATTGAGATCCTAGACCAGGACTCCCCTCCCCGCCAGCCCTCACGGCATGTTCAATCATTATGCACCAATTGATTTGTCTGGTTCCTCAACAATAAATAGAATACACCCCAAACTTTCTCCTACCGTTCTGAGGAATAAATCTCTGCTCATATTTTCTTGCTTTCTTTTTTTTTAATTTTTTTCGAGGCAGGGCTTTGGGTGGAATCTCCACCCCAGGGCTCTGTGGGGCCCCTGCAGGCATGAACCTGCCAGCTCTGCCCGGCAAACCTGTTTGACTCAACTGGGCCATGCACATGGGGTCCCTAGCTCCAAAGCCAACAGAACATGCCAGCCTCCCACCCTGCCTCTAGTGGATTGAATAGTGTCCCCCAAAATTCACATCCACCCAGAACCTCAGAATGTGGCCTTATTTGGAAACAAGGTCTTTACAGGTGCAATTAATGAAGATGAGGTCACACCAGATTAGGGTGGGCCCCAAATGCAGTGACTGATATCCCTGCAAGGAAAGGACCCACAGATGAAAGAAGGCCACGTGAGACAGAGACAGAGATTGGAGTGACGCAGTTGCCAACCAAGGAAAGCCATTGTCAGCAGCCACCAGAAATTAGGAATATTTCTTAATTCTCTGGATTCTCCCCTGGGTTTTCAGAGGGAGCTTGGTCCCGCTGGCACCTGGATCCCGGACTTTTAGCCTCCTGAACTGGGAGTGAATATAGGTCTGTTTTTAAGCCCTGCAATTTGTGGTGAAAACACAAATACGCCAGCCATCAACCCCCATCCTACCTCCTGCATCTAGATCTGAGATCTCAGTCCCTGGATGTGCTGGGAAGAGGCAGGCAGAGAAGAGGTGAGCTGGGTAGAGGTGGGCTGAGATGTGGACCTGGATGTGTCGCTAACTTCGAGATTGTTGCCTGGGCATTTAACAAAGTTAGGCACATCCAGGTTCACATCTCAGCCCACCTCTTCCTTGCTGTGTACACTGGGAGAAGCCCCTTAACGTCCCTGAGCCTCAGTTTCCCCATCTGTGAGATCAGAAAATAACTTGGCAGGGGATAAGTGTAATAAATGTGAGCTGTTGGGGTGGGGGCAGTATCGTGCACAGGGGCATGCCCTGAGGCCACACAGAACATATTTGTTGGATGATGAAATGGTGATGTAGTTGAGCCCTCTGTTTTAGAAACTGGCATTCCGGCTCCTCTGCCACCTGTGTACTCCTGGGCAGGCCCCTGAGCCTCTCTGACCTTGGCTTCCTTGTCTATATCATGGTAAAAATGACAATGATGACAAGAAGCTCTTAGCTCCTGCTCTGAGCCAGGCACTATTCTAAGCACTTTACATGAATTAGTGCATGGAATCCTCCCCACCGCCCTGCAAGGTGGGGGCTGGACTTGTCCCATTTTGGAATTGGGGAAGCTGAGGCCCAGGGAGTTTCAAAGGGACTTGCCCGAAATGTCACAGTGAGGGCTCCACCAACAGTGGCTCTGCTGCTGAGGATGCTGTCCCACAGGATAGGTGGAGGCCATCCAAGAGCCCCTTAAAGCTTGAGGGCATTTAGGACAGAGTGCAGGTGCGGGCCTCACCCAGCTTCGAGACAGTTGACGCCAGCTGGCTGGTAACCTAAAAAGCTTGATGAGGCATTGAGATAAATTCCCAGGCAACGATCTAATGAGGCTTCACAGAATCCAGGCTGTCTGAGCACAGGCCCGACCTCTGCGGGACCTCAGGGCAGGCAGACCAGGCCTCTGCTGGCCATTCCCCAGACAAAGGAGAGGAGCCAAACCAACATCTGGCTGTTCTCCAGTTTCCAGGCCCTGCCGAACACTGCCTGGTGTGTAGCCAGTTAAAGCCAGGCTGGCTTCACAGTCACCTCCATGCGCAGTCCTTTTTGTTTTTTGGGTTTTTTTGAGATGAAGTTCCACTCTGTCGCCCAGGCTGGAGTGCAGTGGCGCGATCTTGGCTCACTGCAACCTCCGCCTCTTGGGTTCAAGCAATCCTCCTGCCTCAGCCTCCCGAGTAGCTGGGATTACAGGAGCCCACCACCACACCTGGCTAATTTTTGTGTTTTTAGTGGAGACTAAAACATAGTTTCATCATGTTGGCCAGGCTGGTCTCGAACTCCTGATCTCAGGTGATCCACCTGCTCTGGCCTCCCAAAGTGCTGGGATTACAGGCATGAGCCACTGTGCCTGGCTCAATGCACAGTCCTTAATTCGCTTAAGAAAATGCATCAAGGAGTGCCTTCCAAATGAGACTGGAGGTTTGGGGTAGGGGTTAGCTGTGATTTCCAGCATGGGGCTAGCTCCACATTCATCACCCCCTCTTGCCTGCCACCTCCTTTGAGCAAAGGCTCCGCCAGCTTCTCATCTTTCAAAACCCAGCTCTGGCACCTCCTGCACCCAGAAATTCTGCTGGAATCCCTGACAACATTAGTTTCTCCTTCTCCCCGATGGTGCAGCACTTTGTACTATTGCTCAAACACTGCATTTCACCATGATTCAGTCAGCAAACATGTACAGAGCACCTCGTATGTGCCAGACTCTGAGCTGGGAGGGAATAGGGAGATAGAGGCAAGTCTCCGTTCTCCAGATTCCAGGGCAACAGATACGCATTTGGCCTGACATCGTTATGCTGGGGGAACCATGACTCTGATGGAAGGGCTGGGAGAGATGATAGTTGAAGGAGGTATTTGAGAGACAAACAGACCAGGAGCAGTGGCTCACGCCTGTAATCCCAGCACTTTGGGAAGATGAATCGGGTGGATCACTTGAAGTCAGGAGATCGAGACCATCCTGACCAACATGGCAAAACCCCATCCCTACTAAAAATACAAAAAATTAGCCAGGCATGGTGGTGGGTGCCTGTAGTCCCAGCTACTCGGGAGGCTGAGGTAGGAGAATGGCGTGAACCCGGGAGGTGGAGTTTGCAGTGTAACTGAGATCGTACCACTACACTTCAGCCTGGTCAACACAGTGAGACTCCGTCTCAAAAAAAAAAAAAAAAAAAAAAATAGCTGGGCATGGTGGCAGGTGCCTGTAGTCTTAGCTACTCTGGAGGCTGCGGCATGAGAATCACTTGAACCTAGGAGGCGGAGGTTGCAGTGAGCTGAGATCGTGCCACTGCACTCCAGTCTGGGTCACAGAGCGAAACGCCAGCTCAAAAAAAAAAAAAAAAAAAGAAAGAGAAACAGAACAAAACTTTCAGGGTAAAAAAGCAAGTGTATGGAGTTGCAGGTAGAGAGTGCAGCACAGGCAAAGGCATGGAGGAGGGACAGGGTAACATAGGCAAAGCAATAGAGCCTTAGGGCTGGAGCAGGCTCATGGGAAGGGTGGCCCTGGTCAGGGATGAGGCTGGATAGGTGGGCTGGAGCCTTGAATGCCAAGCCAAGAAGCCTGCCTGCAGCAATGCAGTGGGGAGCCCTGGGAGGATGTCAGCCCAGATGTGCATGAGCAAGGCTGAGCTCTTAAGGTCACAGCTGGGCCAGTCTTCCCCTAAGGCTGAGAGTTCTGGGAACTAGGGAGGAACCTAGCCATTTTGTGGTGCCCCTCAAGCCTAGAATACAGCTGGTCTTCATCAACAACCACAGAACAGAACGGAATCAGTTGGACTGGGTTGAACTGAGCTGAGTTGGACTGGACTAGATTTTAGAAGCCCTGCCTCCCAGGTCTCAGTGCCCAGTGGCAGATGCCAGTAGAGCAGGGAGCAGGATTCTGCTCATAGCCCCTGTGTGGTGCCAGGACACAGGAAGGGCGGGTATTCTGCTCACCTTGAGGTCACCGGATATGTTGGCCCCTGCCAGGATGCCTGTGGCCGAGGGGAAGAAGATGGAGAACATTCCGAAGAAGGTGCCATCTGGACCCCGCCAGTCAGGCACCAAGTTCTGGACAAAAATGTCCGCTGGAAAAGCAAGGCCTGAGTAAGGCTCACCTGGAGGGCTTGACCCCCCCCTTGCTGGGACCTCATGGGCAGGCAGCCCCTGACCATGGGATCGGGTAATCCCATGCCCCCAGTGTTCACACAATGGGCCAGATTCCTGGGCAGAGAGTCCCTGTCCCCAGAGCCATGGTCAGGGCCTCGATCAGCACATACCCCGGTAGCTGAAGAAGCCTTTGGAGGCCTTGTCCTCAGATGGGGGGATCAGCGTCCCTACCAAGTAGTTGGCAAAGGAGACCATGATGACAAGGAAGAACAGCACCTGGGCCTGGGTGGGGGGGGGGGCGAAGGACCCTAGAGGTCAGATAGTCTGGTTCTACCTCTCTGGGAAGCCCTGCCAGAAAATAATTTGCCCAGGGCCCGTTTCTCCATTATTCACTCACTCATTCATTCAACACCCATTATGCAGCAGGATCTGTTCAAAGAGTTGGGAATATAGATAGTATAGAGTTCAAGACCACCAAAGCCTCTTGTCTTGGCTGATAAATAAGGAGGATGAATTTAAAGTAAGAAGAGGTTTGGTAGGCTGAGGTGGGAGGATCACCTGAGGTCAGGAATTTGAGACCAGCCTGGCCAACATGGGGAAACCCTGTCTCTACTAAAAATACAGGCTGGATGCAGTGGCTCAAGCCTATAATCTCAGCACTTTGGGAGGCCGAGGTGGGTGCATCATCTGAGGTCAGGAGTTGGAGATCAGCCTGGCCAACATGGTGAAACCCCATCTATACTAAAAACACAAAAATTAGCCAGGCGTGGTGGTGGGTGCCTATAATCCTAGCTACTCGGGAGGCTGAGGCAGGAGAACCGCTTGAGACCAGGAGGCAGAGGTTGCAGTGAGCCGAGATCATACCTCTGCACACCAGCCTAGGTGACAGAACGAGACTCCATCTCAAAAACAAATAAATAAAGTAAGAAGAGGGAGTGTGATGGGGACTGGGTGGAGCTCATTTAGCAGGATGGCCTGGGAAGGTGTCACCAGAGAGAAGGTGTTTAGCAGACACCTAAAGTGGGAGAACGAACAAGCCAGAGAACTGTCCGGGGAAGGGCATCCGAGGAAGAGAGAGGAGGCCACCCTCTGACAGCTGCAGGTCAGAGAATGTGGGGAGAGGACAGGCTGCAGGGGCCAGGTCCTGCCCTGCCTGTAGGGCCTGTCCGGCTGAGTCTGCCAGCAGGATCCATGGTTCAGCTGAAGGCCACACCTCCCCAGGCTCCCTCACAGCCATGTGTGACAGCGATAGTGCAGCTTCCAGATGGTGCCACAAAAGGAAAGAGAAAAGGGAATTCCCTCCCTTTCATTTCCCCCTTCTTTGCTTTCCCTCTGACTGGAGGGCATGTGGTCATGGTGGACCAGGTAGACAAAGGCCACGCGCAGGGATGGAGGGAGCACAAGACGGAAGGAGTCTGGGTGCCCAGCCCTCTGGAGCCACCATGCCCACCCTGAGCCATGTGGAACCTAGATTGTCACACAAAAGAGATACAAAGCAGCAGGGCACGGTGGCTCACACCTGTAATCCCAGCACTTTGGGAGGCCAAGGCAGGCAGATCACTTGAGGTCAGGAGTTTGCGACCAGCCTGACCAACACGGTGAAACCCCGTCTCTACAAAAAATACAAAAATTAGCTGGGTGTGGTGGCAGGTGCCTGTAATCCCAGCTACTCAGGAGGCTGAGGCGGGAGAATCGCTTGAACCTGGGAGGTGGAGGTTGCAGTGAGCCGAGATGGTACCACTGCACTCCAGCGTGGGCATCGAGCAAGATTCTGTCTCAAAAAAGAAAAGAAAAGAAAAGAAAAGGCAGAGGACCAGGGAGGGCCCAGGCTTGGCGACCCCCGCTTTTCCACATGACCACCTCCACGTCCCTCTCCTCCATGGCCTCCTCACCTTGGACTCCCACTCCATGCCAGCCAGGGAGATGGCCAGCAGCACAGTGACAGAGACCACGCCGATGATGCGGATGTCATTAATGGGGTCCACAATGGGTGCCCCATACTCCTGGGGAGGGAAAATGGGCCAGGCTGCAAGCCACCCTCTGAACTCCCCATCCCCCAGACTCTGCCCACCTAGGAGGCACCTCCTGTGGGGTGCACTCTTCTAGGACGATGTTAACTCAAGCACCACCCCTGCCATCGAGTCCGCAAAGCAGCTGCTGCATAGGCCTGGACAATGTGGCCCTAAAGGCCACACACCACCCCCGGCAAAGGGGACTTCTGGGAAAGGAATGGTCTTTATTGGTGAGATTGTCACTCTCACCCACAGTGATCAGGCTGTGGTTCCTGATGGGTGAAGTCAGGCAGGGAGCAGGAGGGCCCCGCCTAGATGGGGCAGAGGAGAGTGCAGTGGGCTCCCCGGATCCCTCTACCCAGGTCCAGCCGCCGGCCTCACCTGGAGCAGGTCCCGCACAGTCTCTGCAAAGCCCACGGTGTGCATGGCCACACCCACAGCATTGGCGAAAGCGAAAATGAGGCCGATGGAGCCCCCAAGCTCTGGGCCCAGACTCCGGGAGATGAGGAAGTAGGTGCCACCTATCAGGGCAGAGTCGGAAACCATGAAACCAGAGGAGTCGGTTCGCTGGGGTGGACTCGGAGCAGGCAGAGGCCAGGAGAGGGTGGCCATGGGACCCAAGGCACAGGAGACAGCTGAGGCCATCTCGTAGTGTAGACAGCCTGCCTAGAGCCCTCTCCTGCAACCACAGGAGAGGCTGGGTGTCCCATTGGGTTGGGGAAGTTGGGAGTCCTGTTCCCAGGATTAGCAGCCCATGAGAGGAGGGCCTTGGTGGGAAGGGGGATTGCCCACCTGACTTGACCTTGCCGTTGGTGGAGATGGCCGAGATGGAGAGGCCTGTGATGGAGGTCACTGTGACCGACAGCAGGATGATGATCCAGGTCAGGACTGCAGGGAGCACCCAAAGCTTAGGCAGGGCATTTCCCGGGGGAGGAGCCCCAGTTCGCCTACTTATTCACCACACAACCTACATTCATCTCCCTTCTCTGAGCTTCAGTTTTCTCATATGAAAAATGGGTCTCTGTCACTTTGGGAGGCCGAGGCAGGCGGTTCACAAGGTCAGTAGTTCAAGACCAGCCTGGCCAACATAGCGAAACCCTGTCTCTACTAAAAATACAAAAATTAGCTGGGCGTGGTGGCACATGCCTGTAATCCCAGCTACTTGGGAGGCTGAGGCAGAGAATTGCTTGAACCTGGGAGGCAGCAATTGCAGTGAGCCAAGACCACGCCACTGCACTCCAGCCTGGGGTGACAGAGCGAGACTTCATCTCAAAAAAAAAAAAAAAAAAAAAAAAAAGGGTCTCTGTCTACCTCCTGCCATACTCTGAATAGCCAGGGAGCCCTTGAGCCAGCATTTGTTGGATTGTTAGGCATGAGGGGGAAGCTACCCTCATTTAATAATAAAAAATAAAGTAGCAGTTACCACTCCGTGATCACCTCTGGGAGCCAAATCTGTGCTGTGTTTTTACCTGCATCCTGTAAATCCCACAACAGCTCCATGAGGTATGTTCTGTTATCACCTTCATTTTCCTAATGAGGAATCCAGGGCTCAGAGAGGTGAAGAAACTTGCCCAAAGTCACACAGCAGGCTACAGAGCAGCTGTAGGCTACAGAATGAAGCTTTTTTTTTTTTTTTTGAGATGGAGTCTTACACTCTGTCACCCAGACTGGAGTACAGTGGCGTGATCTCGGCTCACTGTAATCTCTGCCTCCCAGGTTCAAGCAATTCTCTGCCTCAGCCTCCCGAGTAGCTGGGATTACAGGCACCCGCCAATCAAGCCTAGCTAATTTTTTTATATTTTTAGTACAGACAGGGTTTCACCATGTTGGCCAGGCTGGTCTTGAACTCCTGACCTCGTGATCCACCTGCCTCGGCCTCCCAAAGCTCTGGGATTGCAGCCTCCCAAAGTGTGAGCTGCTGAGCCCAGCCAGAGGGCAACTTTCTAACCTGCATGCTTCGAGGTAGAAATGAGCTCTGAGAGGTTAAGTGGCTTACTGAGGGCAAACAGCCCTTAGGCCTACTGACCCCATGTCCAGCGTGCCTCTGCCACACCCCCTGACCCCTGTCACTGCAGGGGCTCGAGACAGCACTAGGGAGGAGCAGGCCTGGCCCTTTGGTCTCTGCAGCTCAAGTTTAATCCTGCAACCTCGGGGCCTAGGAAGAACAGGATTCAGGCAGGCCCTCCCTCCTCTTCCCCAGAGGGGCACTCACCAATGCCTGCCTGGGCTGTAATCCAGGGCAGCCGCAGGTAGAGGATCACGCCCCAAATGTTGAGCATGCAACGAATCTGGGAGGACAGGGGGGTCAGAGGCCACCTGGGTGGACACCCCAAGGCCAAACGACAGGGGTCCCTTGCTATGGCAGGGTATCAACCACCTAGGCCCTGGGGACAACTGGGTCCCTTCTTCACCCACGTCAGTAGGTTCCGAGTCTGGTTCTATGGGGCAAGAGGGTGAGAGGCACCCAGAGACCCACCTATCCCTCCCACCTATTTTCCCACCCTCCCATTGAGGCCTGACGCTGGGCTACGAGCACTGTCCCCCCTCACTGTATCCATCCCAAGCCCAGGATCCTGTGTCTGCCAGGCACGACCATGGCCCCAGTGGTCGGCAGTTGATCCAGAGCCTGGCATTTACAGGGAGCTCAGCAAATGCCAGGTGAGCCAGTGCCCCATGTACAAGCAGATATCAGAGCTCAGGGGGCTGTGACTTCAGCTTCCAAATTTAAAGCAAAGCCAAAGGCGGAGATGGAGGCTGAAGCTTCCAGGTGGGAGGGGCTGGTGTAGTTGCCGGCCCCACTGAGTTGCAGGGCCGTTCCCAGCTCTGGCAACACAGCCCGGGAGGGAGATCCCAGCTCTGAATATGAGCATCTGGGGGTCGGGGAGGGCTCGTGGTTCAGATGGAGAAACGGAGGCACAGCAAGTTGGCAGCGTTAAGATCAGAACCCCAGCCTCCTGCCTCCCAGAGCAGGGCTAAAGCCTTCTCCAACCCATGAGATCCCCTCTGTAAAGTCCCATAATGTCTCCAAAGCCAAATGTACTTGATTCTCTACTGTCTGGAAACTTAATCCTGCTCTACACTACAGCAAACCTTTTCCTTCCCTTCATGGAGGAGAAAAACACATTTACGGAATTGTGTGTTTAGTGCAGCCCCCTGGTGGCTTTTTAGGGAAATACAGTTTCTTCTAATTACTTCCTGGCAGGCAATAATCTATTATCGATTGATCTATTAACTCATTGAATTCATTGTACAGATGGGAAACTGAAGCCCCACCAGGGCCTGAGAGTCAGAGCTGAGCCTGGATGGAGCTCTGCCACCCCACCCCCATTTCTGGACATCAAACAGCACCCACACCCCACTCACCATCACCCCCTTGACCCAGCCGAAGCGCACGGGCTCCTCGGGGTTCTTCTCGCTGCTGGTGCCTGCCTCGTCCTCCACCAGCCCATCAGTCATCTCGTGGCTGGGCCGGCTGTCAAAGGCCAGGGCGTGCAGGTGTCTGCCTTCCTGCTGGCAGCCCAGAGACCACGAGTCAGGCAGGTAGGGGTGCTAGGGATGGCGACTCTGCATCCAGCCCACTGACCTGCACCACTGTGCCCCATACCGGGCACCCCCCGGCCCCTCAGCCCACTGGGTGTTGAGCTGCTTGAGGGGCTTTTAAAATACTCCCTAGGCCAGGAGCGGTGGCTCACGCCTGTAGTCCCAGCACTTTGGGAGGCCAAGGTGGGTGGATCGCTTGAGCTCAGGAGTTCAAGACCAGCCTGGGCAACAAGGTAAAACCCTGTCTCTACTAAGAAATACAAAAATTAGCTGGGCATGGTGGCATGCACCTGTAGTCCCAGCTACTCGGGAGGCTGACACAGGAGGATCTTTTGAAGCCAGGAGGTGGAGATTGCAGTAAGCCAAGATCAGATGCCACGGGAGACTGGGAGTCCTGGGCGCTCTTGCTCATAACACCTCTTCCCCCTGGGACAGCAGTGGTCTTGGAAGTGATTAGGCAGTTGCCCAGCCTTGTAACGGGGGACAGGATTATTATCACCCTGGAGAGGTGAAAGCTTGTCCAAGGCCACATAGTTGGTCCCTGGAGGGCTGGGTCTTGAAACCAGGCCTCTACCTCTGGGGCACTGGGAGGTCTCCTGGTTTGTGCCCCAAGCGACTGATGCCCTCCTCTGGGGCTTTCTTCCTGGCACTTCATCTCAGTGTGGAGCAAAGGGCCATGTCTTGGTTTGCTCTAGGGTGGGGAAAAGTCCTGTCAATTTGTCAAGTCTTAGCTTCAGAATCAAGAACAATTCTGGGCTGGGCGTGGTGGCTCATGCCTGTAATTCCAGCGCGTTGGGAGGCCAAGGTGGGTGAATCCTTTGAGGTCAGGAGTTCGAGACCAGCCTGACCAATGTGGCAAAACCCTATCTCTACTAAAAATACAAAAATTAGCTAGGCATGGTGGTGCACGCCTGTAATCCCAGCTACTCGGGAGGCTGAGGCAGGAGAATCACTTGAACCCAGCAGGTGGAGGTTCCAGTGAGCCGAGATTGCACCACTGCACTCCAGCCTGGGTGACAGAGCCAGACTCTGTCTCCAACAAAAAAAAAAAAAAGAAAGAAAGAAAGAAAAAGAAAAAAGAACAATTCTGCCCAATTGTCACATGGGAAAAGGGAGGCCAGACAAGGGTCATGACAATCCAGTTTCCAGCCCTCCACTCTTCACAGTCCAGCCTCCCAGGCAGCAAGCCTGGCGAGCCCCCTGTCTGAGGTGAACCTTCCCAGGCCCGTCTTTCCCTATCTCTTTGAGGTGCGTGCAACCTGCTTGCATACTTCTACTCACTGGAAGCTCATTACCTCTCTAGGCCTCCCACTCTACCTTTGGGGTTCTAGTGATTGGCTGATATACATTCCAACATGTGTGCAGAGTTCTGCAGCTTCACTATTTCACTGGGGCCTCTCAATCCAGGAAGAAGACACGCCTCCATCCCCATGACACAGATGACAGAACCGAGACTCAGAGAGGTTAGGTAACTGTGTCGAGGTCACACAGCAGGGAAGTGGCCAGTCTTCTGAGATAGCACTTACCTTGAGGAAGGAGTGCAGGTCAGCCAGTGTGGGCCGGACCTTCCGGGGCTCCCCAGGCTGGGTGCTGTTGGCATAGTGCTCATACGCGGGCACCACATCGATCGTGTTGTAGCCGAAGGTACGCATGCAGAAGGTGCTGCCGTGGGTCAGGTGGCTGGGGTGGCTGCTGTCACAGGCAGCTGGTGGAGACTGCTCATCACTGCTCAGCAGCGTGCTGATGGTGAAGCGCCCGCTACACAAAGTAGCGTCCCCAGGCGTCTCTGTGGAGGGCAGTTCTGCCATTGTCGCCTGGGTGTCCAGGGTCAACAAGGACACATAGGGTGGTTTTATAGGCTGCGTCTGCACTGGGGAGGAGGCAGGGAGGTTGGCCTAAACCGCCTGTGGCTGGTGAGCAGGGTCCCCAGACAGGGCGGGAGGCAGAGCACCATTTGATTGTGGAGATAGAGGACCCGCCTTGGATCTGCAAGGCTGGGCTGGCCCAAAGCCAGCCACTCCCTGAGTCCTGGAGTGGCTCCTCTGAGTCTGGGGGCAGCAGAGATCTCCAGCCAGGACCCAAGAAGGAACAGCTGTCAGAGAGGACCCTGAAGGGTCCTATAAGGGATCCTAGAAATAGCCTGGTGGCCTGAGGACACACTATGGGTCCTACTCTATGAGAGTTCAAAAACCTCTCATATTAGTATTTGGTTTTAAAAAATTTATTTAGGGCAGGGCATGGTGGCTCATGCCTATAATCCCAGCACTTTGGGAGGCTGAGATGGGCAGATCACCTGAAGTCGGGAGTTCGAGACCAGCCTGACCAACATGGAGAAACCCCGTCTCTACTAAAAATACAAAATTAGCTGGGTGTGGTGGCGCATGACTGTAATCCCAGCTACTTGGGAGGCTGAGACAGGAGAATTGCTTGAACCCAGGAGGCAGGAGGCAGAGGTTGCGGTGAGTCGAGACTACGCCATTGCACTCTAGCCTGGGCAACAAGAGCGAAACTCTGTCTCAAAAAAAAAAAAAAAAAAAAAAAAAAAATTTATTTTGTAATGGGAGGCCGAGGTGGACAGATCACCTGAGGTTGGGAGTTCAAGACCAGCCTGGCCAACATAGTGAAACCACGTCTCTACTAAAAATAAAAGAAATTAGCTGGGCGTAGTGGCGGGCACCTGTAATCCCAGCTACTTGGGAGGCTGAGGCAGGAGAATTGCTTGAACCAGGAGGCAGAGGTTGCAGTGAGCTGAGATTGAGCCATTGCACTCCAGCCTGGGCAACAGAGAGACTCTGTCTCAAAAAAAATAAAAATGAAAATAAATTTTTAAATTATTATTTAGTAGTTTTGAATAGATGAATTACATAATTTTTTTTGAGATAGGGCCTTCCTCTGTCACGCAGGCTGGAATGCAGTGGCACAATCACAGCTCACTGAAGCCTCACCCACCAGAGCTCAAGAATCCTCCCTCCTCGGCCTCCCAAGTAGCTGGGGCCACAGGCACACACCATCATGTTTGGCTAATTTGTTTTTACTTTTTGTAGAGATGGGGTTTCAAGTCACCCCAACCACCCCACCCTGGTTACCCAGGCTGGTCTCAAACTCCTGACTCAAGTGAGTCTCCTACCTCAGCCTTCCACCTCCCAAAGTGTTGGGATTGCAGGCGTGAGCCACTGCACCCAGCTGGTATAACATTTCAAAAGATATACACACACACACCCAAAGTTAGTCTCTTTAGCTCCAACCTGTCTCCCAATGTCTATGTGTCCCTCCAGAGACATCTCAGTATATTTACAAGTAACTTCAAACCAGAGTTCAGCAGGTCAGAATTGGAATCCATATCCACCAATAGACTGACAAGCCCTGGGGCTTGGGACCAGCCGGTGGCCTCCAGGGCCCCTAGGCACCACCCAAAGTGTGGGTTTCCCTGGGCTCTGCCTGCAGGGCCATTGGGTTATAAAGCCTGGGGAGCCAGCGCCTTTCCTGGTTCCTGAAACCATCCCAGACAAGGCACCCCAGCTCCCATAGGAGCAGTCCCCCTACCAGTGCTGGACCAGGTCAGGACCCAATTTTGCCAGCACTCTGAGGCCACACCTTGAATGCTGGTGGCATGGGAGCAGCACTCTCGTTACCAGAGGTGCCTAAGCCATTGCAGGGAGGAAGTGGTTGAAATTTGAGCTGTCAGGGGATGCAAGAGGTGAGTCAGGGTCTTGAGAGATGAGTTAGTGGGCACACACTTGATGTGTCACCAGAAATGGAGGGTGTATTTTCCCAGCTGTTATGAGGGCTCTCAGTGTCAGCCCCTATGGTGCTGGCCTCACCTGTGGTCACCTTTCTTCTCAGAGGCCAGCATTCAATGACTGATGGATTTGGGTATAAAGACCTGGCACCCTGCCCTAGCTGAGGCTTTGGGTATACACCGAAGCTTACTTCTCCCTCTGTCCAGCCCTGCTTCCTTCCCTTCTACCCACAAGTACTGACCCCAAGAGGCTTCCTGTTGAATGCCCTGCACACACTCCCCGATCTTGGAGTCTGCTACTCAGAAGTGGGGTGACCTAGTGGCTCACAAGAAAATCACTGATCTCTTTGTCACCTCTGCTGAGTTTCCCATCTCGCTGCCATTTACCCAACAAACCTTTACTGACCACCCACCATGCCATGGGTGGCGATAGGAGCCAAGGACACCCATGGTGGGCATTGTGCCCGTGCTCACGAAACTGCTCAGTTCGTGAGGGAAATCAGTGTGGAAACAGATCAGCCCAGCTGTGTAGTGAGGGTAGCAATGGGAGAGATGTCCCTGGAGGAGGGTCAGAGTAGGGACAGCCAGGGAAGGCTTCCTGGAGGAGGGGACCCCTGACCTGATTCTTAGAGAATAAGTTGCTCTTCCTGGAGGCAGGGGATAGAAAGGCCATCGCCAGCTCTAGACATCTGAGCTTGGCTTATGGTCTGGCTCTGGTCATCCTTGGGAAGGATATGGAGGGACCCACCTCCTCTCCCTCCGTAGCCCTGCCTCTTAGACTTGGGCTTACAGAGTTCACACAGGTCCCCCACAGGACTGGCTCTACAGTGCTCGAAATCCTTAGGGCTCCATGACCCCCAACAGCAAGTCAGCACTGGGTGATTGAGAACTCACAGGTAGGCCTGGCTGGCTCACTCTGTCCCCCTTGCTAACCCTCTTACTCCTCGTCCAGAGGTACTGGGGACAGGTGTACCTACTCAGCTGTAGGGCCAGGCAGAATGGGTAGGTGAAATGCTCAGCCGGTGTTAGGGCAGCAAACACTGTTGGGGAGTCCACCTCCAAGATGAGGGTCTAGGAGTCCCACACAATCATGGATAAGTTTTCATACGTCAGTGCACTTTTCTGGGGAGGAGACAGAAATTTCATCCACCTTGTTAGACTCACAAAAGCAGGGATCTGGCCCTGTTTTGTTCAGTGATAATCCCAGGCAACAAAACAGTACAGAGTGGGTATTCAACAAACGCTTGTTGAATTATGAAGGGGACGCAGAAGCAAAGAGGGCAAAGGACGGCTCCGTGGAAATCCTTGGCTGACAGAATGACGCCAAGCAGGGTTGATGAAACTGGCCACTCCACAGGCCCTCTCAGCTCAGCATTCAGCCTCTAGTTTCGCATCTAGAGGTGAGCTGAGGCTAACAGGACCTCAATGACAAACCCCAAAGGTTACGATCACTGTGCACTTTTTTTTTTTTTGCAAAGCTTATACATTTACCATAGGTGTTAATTTTTAAATCTTCTCAGGGCACCTCTTAATGACCCACAGGCCTCCCTATCCACTTCCTTGGATTCCCAGCCCCTCCTCAGAGAGGCATCTGCCAGTGGGGCTGAAGGCTTGAGGGTCCCACCCTGGTTTTGTTAGGGGAGAGGATTTGTGGAGGCCTCTCTCTGCTCAGTCCCTCATGGGGCCCTCGGGGCAGATCTTATTGCTCATCTCCCTCTTAAACTGCCATTTGTCTGGCGAAAATCATAGCCGCCTTTTATCAGCTCACACCATTCCTACACACCCTGTCCCTGGGCAGCTGTGGAAAATTCCTGATTAAGATCTCACAGAAGAAGGAGCCTGAAGGGGCCCGGGCTGGTTTCCAGCAGTGCTGTGGCCCTGGGCAGAGTGAGGGGCCCTGACTGTGCTTGCCAAGGGTGACCTTGGGCAAGTCACTCGTTCCTCCCTCCAGAAAACCCTGGCCTGTTCAGCAGGGGGACATTTGCTTCTTCAAGAAACCTCTTCTGCCCCTCTGCCTCTCTATGGGGTAAGATAGAGTTTTAGCAGGTCCCCTCGAAGGACTCATCAACAGGACATGCTGAGAGACTGTCAGACACCTTGTCCCGAAGCACAGATCCCCAGGAAGGGGAAGTTGCATTTGGATGGAATTTAATCAATTTCAGAAATGTTTACAGAGGCACTCTTTTTGATGGTCAGTGGGGACGCAGTGCTAGGTCAAACACAGTCCCTATCTTTCAGGACTCTGGCTTCCGGGAGAACCCATGGGCCAGGCCCTTCTGATCTGAGGTTCTATGTGCCTGGAGCAAAGCCCTTGATTTGGCTGCAAAGAGTCTCAGTTCTGGCCGTTTCTGTGTGACTTTGAGCATGAAACTGACTTGGGTGAACCTCAGCTTTGCAGCAGCAAAATGGAAATGCCTCCTCTACCAGTGCCAGGCATCCCTCTCCCCTGGCTGAGTGCAGTGGGCCCTTCGGATCTCCTGGATCTCAGACAGAACAGGAGCAGTGAAGAAGCGGAAACTCTCAGCTGTCAGGAAACCGGAGAAGCGGAAATCCCAGAGAAGCAGAAACCCCAGATGCAGGTCCTGAAACGCTAAGGACAGAAGGCCCTGCTGCAACCTCAGAATCTCAGGGCCTCCTGTCTTTGCGGCTACAGAGGCAACTCGGCATTTATTGTGTTCCTCCTGTGTACCGAGCACTGAACCTCACAGCCTAACCTGGCAGATAGACCAGCAAGGAGATCATGCAACTGGCCAGCAGAGGAGGAAGGCTGTCCAGAGGAAGGAGGGGAGAGGGGAGGGTAGGTGTGTGGGTGAGGATGGAGGGGAGATGAGGACAGGGGAGAGGAGGGAAAGGAGCTCAGGAGAGGTGTGGTCAGTGCAGGGGGAGAGGCAGTGGGACTGAGGCCCACATAGTGCTGTGGGGTGGGGAAAGGAGGGAAGAAATGGTGGGAGATGAGGCTAAAAGGGATCTAATTGTTTCTTCACTCCACTGCGTTTATTGAGTCCCTGCTGCATACCATGCCCTGTGCTAGGCAAGGAAGGCACCACAGGGAACAAGACACAGACCCTGCCCTCCTAGAGCTCACATTCTAATGGGAGATTCTGTGGACCTGAGCAAGAGGAGGTGAGGGGCAAACATCAGAGTTTTTTGAAAGCTGCAGGTGATTCTGAGGAGCGGTCTGGGCTGAGATCCAGCGGGTTGCAGAGGACAAGCTTTCACACACAGACTCCCACCCCAACCCCATCCCCAGGTCCTTGTGTCCGGCCCGGTCCCACGAGGCTCGCCTGGAGAGGATGGGTATGATGCAACCCTGGTGTCGTGAAATAGCCGGGTAAGAGGATGCGCTGCTCGTCGGCCTGATTCACAACACCAGCTGCAGCAACGATACCAGAACTCCGCCGGCTTCCTCCTCTGGGGTGTGGCTCCTCTGGTTTTGAGACAGTGATGAACCCACACAACATCTTCCCCAACCAATGGCTGCCCCAGGCCAGTATGGCACCAGGGCCCAGGGGTGCACTGGGTGGAATCTGGGTCCCTGCCCAC